CCTATTGCTTAGAGTTCTGAGATAGTTGGGAGAATATGATGACTTAGAGGGGAAAGTAATGGTTGGACATGGAAGGTCAGAGAATTGCGAATGCAGTGCGTAGTTCATTTACCTTTGCTGACAAGCACTGAATATAATCCCACTTTCTTTTTTTTTAAATTTATTTATCATGTATACAGTGAGTGTTCAGCCTGCCTGCCAGAAGAGGGCACCATATCTAATTGTAGATGGTTGTGAGCCACCATGTGGTTGCTGGGAATTGAACTTAGGACCTCTGGAAGAGCAGCCAGTGCTCTTAACCTCTGAGCCATCTCTCCAGCCCCCTAATCCCACTTTCATTACACTCTTTTCTTACATAACAAACTCCTTCAATCTTCTCTTCGCTTTTACCTAACGTAAAAGCATTGCTTTGTACACTCAAAACTAATGCAATAAATGATATATTATTCATGTGCCACGAACATGTCCAATGCAGCATTTTATATACAAATTACAAAAATTGCTTTAGAAGTAATGACAAGCAGAAGGAACACACTACTCAAGTTTTAGTTTTCAGGCTGAACTTGCAACAGGAAGGAGGGGGAGGGGCACAGACTTTGAAATAAATGTGACCTACAGATCACCAAGAAAAAAAATAAAACCAAAAATTAAAATTTAAACCTATGTAGGCTTATCCTGAGGAAAAAAATATGTGTGTAGCTAGAGTTTTCCCGCCTTGCCCACAGTCAGGACAAATCTCCCTCACCCGCCAGTCCCACAGCTGCTCAGACCCAACCAAGTAAACACAGAGACTTATATTGCTTACAAACTGTTTGGCCGTGGCAGGCTTCTTGCTAACTCTTCTTATAGCTTAAATTAATCCATTTCTATAAATCTATACCTTGCCATGTGGCTTGTGGCTGACCAGCATCTTCACATGCTGTTTGTCATGGCTGCGGCTGGCAGTGACTCCTCTTGCCTTCCTGTTCTTTCTTTTCTCCTCTCTGTTAGTCCTGCCTATACTTCCTGCCTAGCCACTGGCCAATCAGTGTTTTATTTATTGATCAATCAGAACAACTTGACATACAGACCATCCCCCAGCACAGCCAAGTGCAGACCATCTCAGACACCTGCACTCAGGCCCATGGTCCTAATCATCCTCTATGTGGACCTGCTGGGTAACGCCACAAAGAACCCAAGAACGGGCTCCCACAGGACATACAGAACATCCCACAGCAAAAATATTTAAAATTTTTGATATTTATACTCTTGTTTGTTTGTTTGTTGTTTGTTTTTCAAGACAGGGTTTCTCTGTGTAGTTTTGGTGCCTGTCCTGGATTTCGCTCTGTAGACCACACTGGCCTCGAACTCATAGAGATCCACCTGGCTCTGCCTCCTTCCTCCTGAGTGCTGGGATTAAAGGCCAGTGCCACCACCGCCTAGCTATATTTATTCTCTCTTTAGACATGTTATTGTATACTTACTGAAACCACAGCATAAAGTAAACGTAACTTTTTACATACATAGGGAAAGCAGAAAATTTATGAAACACTATTGCAATATTTACCTTATTGTGATAGGCTGGATCTAAATGTAGATTAGACATAACACAATATACATGGATTGTTTCAAAACAAGTTAGTTGAGCTATATGCAAACTAGGAATTCACTGGTAAGATCTGGGTGTGCCAGTAAGTTGATTCTCCCGTGTTTACTCTCATTAGATTACTTACCATCTACTAGGTGTTAGGACTCAGTATTTTCATGAACAGTTGTCGCTCAGCAGGGGACTTCCACAAAGCCAAATAACAAGAGAACCTTTTTTTTTCTCTCCTGGAATTAGCTCTGGTGATTACAAAATTGAAAGAAAAAACAAACAAACAAACACCTCCTCCCCCCCTCAAAAAAAAAAAACCCAAAAAACATTACCTCGCAGAGAAAAATTTCAAAGGATATACAAAGCATTTGTTAAACACACTACTTAAATATTCAGAAGGGAGAATTTTGTGTCTACAGAAGGTGGAATTCTCCCTTCTGAAAAGAGACTGGGAAGGTAGCTTCAGCACAGCACGTATAATTTCTCTTACGCTGTTTAAACATGTAAAGCCTTAACATTTTTCTTGGCCAAAATAAATTTCATTCGGATTTTATTATTAGCTTATTCTGCGATGCCTCTGGAGACATCTTCTCCGCATTTCGTTTTTGTTTGTTTGTTTTGTTAAATCAAATTCTTTTGGTTCAGTAGTTTTATCTCTAACTTGTAGATTTGTTCGGGTATTATCACTGCTCAACATCGTGATTTTAGTTTTACATAAGTGTCTGCCTGTGTATTAAAACCACAACTCACACCATCCCGCCCCCTCTGGGGAGGAGCCCCGACCCTGCATTGGACCTAAACGTAGATTAGACGTGATACAATATACCTGGACGGTTTCAAAACAAGGTAGTTGAGCTATATATATATATGCAAACTGGGGACTCACTAGCAAGAGTTGGGCGTGCCAGCAAGTGGATTCTCCTGTGTTTACTCTCATTAGCTTACCCCGCCCATCCTACAATAGCTAAGAGATGGGACCAACCATCGCGAGACTTCAACGGCCTTCTCACGGGGCCGGAGGGGGGGCTTCAGGAGCAGCGCTTGCGCAGAAGCGCCTTTTGAAGCCAGCGTGGGAGAAAGGGGGCGGGGCGTCCCCGGGCGTCCTGCGCAGTCGCTGGGGACCCGACGCCTGTCAGCCGGCGCCGTGGTTTCCGGCCTGGGCGCCCCCCGCCCCGCCCAGCGCGCCGCGCGGCGCGTGCGCAGCTCCGTCAGGTGTGTGTGTGTGTGAGTGTGTAAGTGTGTTTGGCGAATGTCGGCCTGGGGTGGTCCGCAGTGTGTGAGGAAGGCCCGGCCTGGGGACGACGGGCGCTTGGGTACCGGCTGAGGTAGGCCGTGGTGGCTGTGGAGTCAGAGGTTAGAGGTCGCGGAGGGACCCGTCGGCTCCGGGCCCCCAGAAAATAGCGAAGGCTCCGGCGGAGCCCCGGGGTCGGCCCTGCGGGTTCCCCCCGCGGCGACTTAGCCCCAGCCCCGGGGCGTGGGCCGCGCCCTGCTCGCGTGGGAACGGGGTGCTTTGCCACCCGCGCGCTGAGGCCCCTGCCGCGCGCCGGCCCCGGGAGCTGGGGCAGGAGGATGGCTGGGGAGGGGGCACCCGCCTGGGACTGCAGGTAGCTGGAAGGGAGGCCGAGGCGGGGAAGGTAGGCTGCCCGGTGCTCGGTTGCCGTCGGCGACAGACCGGTGGCATTCGCTTTCCGAGCCATCCTGGCTCCTGCGGGCGCATTGTGCGCTTTGGCTCTGCTACGGCCCTAGGTTTCATGAATGAAGATGGGGATTTAAGGTTAAGGGACCCCCGTCTGAGGTCCAGTATTGGACATTAAACCCTGGCCATTTAAACTCGGTGCCTTTTAATCCAAATGGCCTGAATTTATCATGCGAAGTCTTTTTTTTTTTCTACTACGTGTTCTTCTGTCTTCTTTGCGCCTGTATTTGCCCACGTCCCGTGGGTAAATTTGTCCCCACCTCATTCTTGTTTAAGCTGCCCCTCTTATTCTTTTTAATCTGTTCATCCATAAAAAACATTGTGTGTGTTAGGATTTTTCTCCCATTTTTTTTTCTCTTTAAGAAAGGCATGTCTAAGGGATTTTAAACTATATAAGGGTCGATCGAAGTTGAATGCTTTGGGATTGTAAAGCACGTTGGAGTTATTCAGCAGTGGCCTGAGTTTAAATCCACTGACACATGAGACAGGCTTTTGTTTCCAGCTTTGTGAGAGGTTTGTCTTACTAGTTTTCACCGGCCAAGTGTAGTTTTAGAATTTGTTTCCTTTTGTACAATTGATTCTCTTTTTTTTTTTTTTTTTTTTTTTTTTTTTTTGTTTTTTTCGAGACAGGGTTTCTCTGTGTAGCTTTGCACCTTTCCTGGAACTCACTTGGTAGCCCAGGCTGGCCTCGAACTCACAGAGATCCGCCTGGCTCTGCCTCCCGAGTGCTGGGATTAAAGGCGTGCGCCACCACCGCCCGGCTAACAATTGATTCTCTTAACTAAATGTTTGTCACTGAAGATGAGTGAAACTGTTACAGCCTATTGGATACATGCGATCATGGTTAATGTGTTCCTCGCCTGTTAGTTTTCTCCTTGAGGTGACCAAATACCAGAGAAGAAAAAAAAACTACGGGGGTGGGGGGTGGGGGGTTGTTGTTTCAGGGAACAGTCCATCCTGATGGGGAAGACACAGTGAGGGTGAGAATGGGGCTTGGTGGCGGCAGGGTGGTGAGGTTGCTTCCTCACATCTGGGTAGGTAAGAAAACAAAACAGGACAGGAAATGAGGCTGGTCTTCCAGGCTCAGCTACCGACATTGCACTCCCTAGCCTAGGCCCCATCTAACGTTTCCAGAATCCCCCCAAACAGGAATCCACCAGCCAGGGGCCAGTTCTGATACATAAGTCTGTGGGAGTTTTTACAGCCAAACCATAGCAGCTATTACTTGATTTAAGTTTTCTTCAAAATTTACCCTTTTCTATATATCTTTCTGAAGATTTCATGTTATATAACGGATTTCATGTTGTGTTTAAGGGCTGCTACGGAATGTGCTTGATGTCACGGGTTATTGTTAAGATAAAGAATTGGATTAGGTCCCAGGAAATGATATTTCCACTGTGAATGGAAGTCATCGTCTTGTTTGTGAGATTCCTAGAAAATATCCGGGAGAGGAGTAAGGCCCTACCCAAGGTGCACATTGGAGCTGCAAGCATGAATATTGCATGCAGTGTTACTGTTTTTTGATTGAAAATATTTCTTCATAAAAGATACATTATCTCTATGTTGGTAACCTTCCTAGCAAATGTATGTTGTTAATTGTGCTGGAATTTGGATTTGCAACAGGTCAGAAATGTTAACCAGACTCCATTGTGTTGGGTGTTCTTTTCCTGTGTTGCCACCGTTTTCCAGTCTTTCTGTCTCATGTCCACTGTTCCATTTGTCATTTAGAATTCACATTCACTGACCAAGAAAGTGTGAAGATGAGCAGCCGAAGGAAACGTGCTCCCCCAGTGAAGGTGGATGAGGAAAGGCAGCAGCAGCTTCACTGGAACATGCATGAAGAGCTGAGGAATGAACCGCTCCCCTTGACTGTTGAGGAGCAGCCCTGCTCGGGTGCAGACTCCTCTTCTGATTGCATCCTCATAGATGATGACCCTCCTGAAGATGTGGTTCACAGAGATAAGAAGAGGCGGTCAGAGGCTGTGGGCACCTCAGAATCCACTGAAAAAGAGACCCCTTTGTCTGTCAAGTTGAATGTTACCATTTCTCCCTATCATGACGATCAGTCTTGGAAAGCATTGCTGGGAGATTTTGCTCTTCAGCTTCTCCATGAAGAGAGTTCAGTTGAACATTTTTCTGAAAGGAGTTTTACATTGATGAGTTCAGAGTCAAGCAATCAGTTCCTGATCTATGTCCATTCAGAATGTAAAGATGAGGAAAAACAAGAAAGTGTGCTTAAAGAATCAGCTGATAGTTATGGCAAGGGTCTTCGAGTGGAATCGTCCTTCAGTAGTGACATGTTACAGGATTTGGCCTGGCTGCAGAAGAAAAGAGGAATAAAACTTTATCAGCGACCTGAAGGAAATCATACCATCAAGGTACTCAGTTTCTGTGGTGTCTTGTAAGGTTCTACATCGAAGTTAACTTAGAAAGTCTCAAGACCCATCAATAAGCTTCTCATTATTATTTCAAAGAATACTTTATATGGGGGTTTAAGTAACAGCAAGACTGTCTTCCTGCCAATCATTTCTAGCACTTTCCTGAGGGGATTCCCCTGAGTTTTACTTCCTGCCTCTGTGCTCAGTTACTTGCTTTGGTCCTCACCTTGACCTTGTATTTTCAAATCTTTGTCTACATTGTTTCAGAAATGGTGTGATAGGAGTTAGTTTCCTGATTGTAGAACTGAAGTGTAGCCTTCCTGCTCTGACATACACCTTTCTGTCACATGTCCCTGACCCTTCTTACCCTTTGTCACTGTGCTTTTTCGTCTGGCTCCAGAAATTCCGAATTAATTTGTTTTCCGCACAGATGCTGTCTTTCTGTCTCTGCTTTTCTGGCTTCCCTCTGCCTAGGTTATTTCTTCCCCTCCTCTACTATGTCGTTCTCTGGTAGTCTGTTCAGAAAGACTCACAGGCATGGAGAACTTCTCTTAAGCCCCAACCCAGAATATTTGATACATAGTTTGGTTTAGTTTGGTTTTTGTTGTTTATTTTATTTCCTTCCTTCCTTCCTTCCTTCCTTCCTTTCTTCCTTCCTTCCTTCTTTCCCTTTTTTTTCTACTTGAACTGCATTTACATCTTAGATCCTTCTTGCTTGCTAAACTGTGAGGTCTTTATCTTTACTGCCTATTTAAAGTGCCTGCTACCTAACGTTTGTAATTCATTTCAAGATGTGCATTCAGTAAGTTGTGTAAATATATGAGAATCACTCAAATGTTCTGATATCAACTTTTCTATATGAACTGTAAACCATACCTATCCTTTCATGATAAATTTTTCTAAAGTCAGGTGAGATAATGTAAGTAGGTGTACTCTGTAAAGAGATTATATGCCTTATGCTAAAGGCTGAAAGAAAATTTTAAGATGTTTCATCTTTGTGTCACATTTCTTAAATTAAAAGCAATTGTATTGGCAGGTCTAATTATTATTTCTGGAGCGATCTGGTGTGTTCAGGGTAGAATGGCCATGGACTTACTTAAAAATAACCTAAAGAATAGAGAACATTTGGAAGCATTATACAGAAGTTAACTTTCCCTGGACACTGAAACGCATAACCATGCAATTCCTTGTCTATTCATTTTGAGAACCAGTATTTTGCAGAGTGATAGCAGGAATGTAAGAATTCATGGCTGGTGTGTCTGTATTCTACCCTTAAAATCAAATCTTAATCTCTTCTACTTTCCATGACCTTGATTTTTATAAAAATGTAAATATTTATCTGTCGCTGCCATGGTAAGCCATCCCCAGGTGAACAAAAGGCAAACTCATGCAGTCCTGAAATGTAACTCACTTGTTACTCTGTAGTGTTACTGGATTCTTACATTTCAGCAGAAGACATGAAGGAGTTCAGTTGTTAGGGAGTTTGGCCCCAGGATAGCTGGAGAAATGAAAAAAAGAATTGTCTGCTGTTATAAACCTTAAAAATTAAACTATTTGGGCTGCTTCATGTGGACTTCCATTTTAAAAAAGGAGAACATTTTAATCTAAACAAAACTTATATTTCCTAAATTTCCTTTAGTCCTAAATATCATTGCCTGTACTCAGATCTGAGTATTTCAGTTCTTAACATTCATGAGCTGCATTGTTTTACTTAGCATTAGTCAAGGTCTGTTTTCTTCCACCTTTTATTTCATATTTGATCCGATGATAAGGATTCCCAAACTTAACCACAAAAGAGTGATCGTGTGTGTTTAGTTTTCTAGGAAATGCTTCCTTGTAATGAGCTTCACTGATTATTCAAGTGTTCATTAGGTTTAGAAATGGTGACATGGTTGGTTGAATTGAGGTTTTCATAACGTTCTCCTGTGTTTTGTCCCCATTAAGGAAGTCTTTTAGTTTTCATTTTTTCTGATAAATAATGCATCATAGACATTTACAGAGTGAATTTATGAAATTAAATCTCGTGCCTATGGTGTAGACATTGTTAAAGCCTTTAAAAACAGTGAATCTGGGGACTGGAGAAATGGCTCAGTGGTTAAGAGCACTAGCTGCTCTTGCAGAGGCCCTGGGTTTGGTTCCCAGCACCCACATGCCAGCTAACGGCCATCTGTAACTCCTGTCCCAGGGATTCACTGTCCTCTCTTGGCCTCTAGGGGTACTGCTGCACGTGTGGTGCAGAAATATACATGCAGACAAAACACCCATATACATTTTTTTTTTCATCTCAAAGTTCTGTTTTTTAGAAATAGTGAATCTCTCAAGGGTTTTCTTGTGTCCAAATGAAGAATAATATATTCTTAGTAAAACTTTAATTCTTTTTAGGTTGGAATTTATATCTTGGAAGCCGGCCTAGCAAGACTAGACTTTATGAGTGATGCAAGTTCAAGAATGAAAAAGTTCAATCAGCTCATGAAGAGAGTGATGGAAAAGTTACATAATTTTATTATTCCAGGTAATTATTAAAGTGAACTTTAAAACTGCATTTTGGGATTGTCAGTTTTTCTTCAGCTTGTACACGTAACATGTTGTTTGTTCTTTGGTCTTTTTTGTGGGGGCCTGCCACCCAGCTCCCTAATAAATTACACACAGAGAGTTATTATTACTTATGAATGCCTGGCCTTAGCTTGGCTTAGTTTCTAACCAGCTTTCCTTAACTTATCCCATCTACCTTTTACCTCCAGGCTCTTCCTTTTTCTATTCCTGTATACCTTTCTTTGTTTCTTACTCCGTGGCTTGCTGTGTAGCTGAGTTGCTGGCCCCTGGAGTCCTCCTTCTCTGGCTCCTAAATCTCCTCACTCCTCCATCTTTTTCTTCCCCCAGTTTTCTCTTTCTATATATCCTCTCGACCTGCCAGCCCCACCTATTCAGTTCTTTATTAGACCATCAGGTGTTTTAGACAGGCGCAGTAATACAGCTTCGCAGAGTTAAACAAATGCAGCATAAACAAAAGTATCACACCTTAAAATAATCTACATAACAACTTGAAAAATAAATAATAAATATGAAGGAACTTAAATGATCTTCATACAGTACTGTATAACAATCTTATCTGGAATGCCCTCACTAATACGACTTTTTTCACTGTACTTGCTTAGCATTGTGCCCAGCATTCAAGAAATGTTTACAAAATCAATATACAAAGTCAAAAGGCAGTCAGAACACATCTGAACTGGTTGGGTCCCTTCTTTCCTTCCTTCCTTCTCTGCAAAATTCCATAGTAGCCAGAGATTGTTGCTGGCCTTTATCTACCTCACTTTTGCGGTCTGACAGAGAATCTCAGGAGGCAGGTTGTTGGTTGGTGGGACAGGGAATCCTTACTTAGAACTGCAGCTAAGGACTGTGAATATCAGAGACGGTAGCTCAGTGGTAGAGAGAGGCAGACGCAGAAAGCACTGCTGGTCCAGGACTGTGCCACTGGTAGACACGGGACTGGCTGGGTGCACCCCAGCTCTGCTGCTGGAGAAACAGCTTGGAGTTACCAAGTTACGGTGGAGAACTTAGTGTGTCTGGTGTTTTGGTGCAGTTTTTAGGATATTCTATCTCCCTATTCCTTTCCTTTGTTTTCTCTTTTTCCTTTATGTGCTAGGTGTCAAACCTAGAACTGCACAGATGCTGAGCAGGTGCTGTATTTCTGAACTATAGCTCTGGCCCTATGGAACATTTTCATTTTAGAATGTTTTGGAAATCTGGTTTTGAACATAGTGTGTAAATTGAAGCCTTAACTCATTCTTTCAAAACTTCACAATACTAATAATAGTAAGTTATTTTGCAAGTTAGAGAGTTACAGGGAAGAAAATACCTTGATTCAGAATTAGAAATGCTATCAAATACATCTAGAATTTTTTAGTTAAAAGAATTTTAGCCAGCTATGGAGAAGTACACCTAAACTACTAGTGCTTGGGAAGGAAAACTTCAAGCTTAGATATCAGTACTTGATTACATTTATTATTTTGTGGTAATGATATGAAACAAATGCATAACTAAACACTGTGGTTGTGAAAATCCTATATGATATTTTGTATTGAATAACTTGTAGATTATTCCATATACTTTTTGTAATTGATCATATTAGGTATGTTCTATAAAACCATGTAGTTTTGTCATGTGCTCTTTGAGAACAATTTGGAAATAAAAATGGTTCATTTCTTCACATTGAAAGAATAATGCAAGTGTGTTTAGGGTTTTTATTTTGTTCAAGGTACAGTGTGAGTCTTCTATTGGACAGTTGTGTTCATCTGGTGAAATGTGACAGCTGGATACGCATTAATGGTTTTAGCATTATTTAGCATATTTCTTCAATAGCTGCTGCTGCTACCAAAGGCCCACTTTTTCATCTTAGCCTGAAAAATTAATGAGAACCCTTGCTTTAATAAGCATAAAAAATAAGGATTTTTTATGTTAAGGTATAAAGTAAAATAAGTTAATTTATAAGTCACAGGTGAAAATACTTAGGAGAACAGAGCATGTCAGTTTCTCTGAGGAGCTGTGACAAGTACATATAGGAGATTGAGAAAGGAGATAGATTACAACACGTAGTTAAAGCCAAAGCATAAAATAGCACATGAATACCAAGGACAACATTGATACCATGCATCATTTGAACTATTTTAAAGAAAGCGTAGGTAGATATTTTGGGGGAGGGATTTCTAGTCATAGAACACACAGAGCAGGATTATGGAGATAATAGGTGCTTGGGAGTTTCCTGCAATAAGGACTAGTGGTTAGAAGGCCTTGTAACACATGCACCTAAATTCCCAGCCCTCAGAAGATTGAGACATGAGGATTTTGGATATGAGGCTAATCCAGAGAGTACTGTGAAATGTTGTCTAAAACAGAGTGGGAGGGGATGGGTTTAAATAGAAAAATATTGCTTGTGGCTTACAATGCAGATCCTGTTATGAGTACCTTTGTTGGATATACAGATGTGCCAGAAGAAGATGAGGATGATTCAGATAGTGAGCCAGAGGGCCAGGACATTGACGAGCTCTATCACTTTGTGAAGCAAACACACCAGCAAGAAACACAGTCAGTTCAAGTGGATGTCCAACATCCTGCACTGATCCCAGTACTGAGACCGTACCAGAGAGAGGCCGTCAACTGGATGCTACAACAAGAGCATTTCAGAAGCGTTCCTGCTGGTGGCAAGTATAAGATGTTTAAAGAAGGGCTTGTTGATTGGAGGCAAGATGTTGAAGATAGTCAGTAATGGGACATGTGCTAGGGTAATGGCAAGTAATCATACTGAAAAGAGAATAGTTTTCTAAAAAGTCTTTCAAATAGAAATCTAGAAAAATATGTGACTTTCCTTATTTGTATAAGTTTAAAATGTTTTTTCCTTCAGCCTTAATGGGAATGTATGAAAAGTAGGAAATAAGTTTAAATCATGGTCCCTACATGTAATCTCAGTTTGGGAGGTAGTAGCAAGAAGAGGAGAAATTCAAGTCATTCCAGGCCACAATGTGAATTGCAGGCCAGCCATTCTGGGCTGTGTGCCATGCTATCTCAAAAAAAAAAAAAAAAAAACAGAGGAAAAAAGTCACAACTTGTCAAAAGGGGTTGTTGCTTTTAGAACTTGATTAGTTATGAGTAAGAATCTAAATGTTAGCAACAGAGCAGATTTGCAAATGTGACTAATTTTCCTAGTTTAAATTTTTTTGGTTGCCCCACAAAATAAATAAAACCAAGGAATTTATTGGAAGGGTGTGCTCTATTAATATTTTTGTTTGTTTGCTTTAAGACAGGGTGTTTGTGTAGCCCCTGGCTGTCCTAGAACTCACTGTTTAGACCAGGCTAGCCTTAAACTCTAATGAGAATTCATGTTTCTGCCTCCTGAGCACTGGGCTTAAAAGTGCACACCACCATGCCAGCACTGTTTTTAAGTGAGTAGACAGATTTTGAGATTTTCATACAATTCTTTAAAAATGAGTTATTCACTAGTTCTACTTCTTCCTGTAAAGATTTACTCAGTTAGTGGTAGATGATATTACTTATTTATCCCAAGTATTCCTATTTTTTTTTTATGTTTTCATTTTGGACAGTATCAGTTTATAGGCAATATTATTTCTCCTTACTCCTGATCCTTTCAAATATCAGTAAATTTGTCTTCTTCCAAAATTACTTTCCTTGTCTCTATTTTCCTGTCTCCTACATTCTCATTCATTCATAGTCTTTCATTCTCCCATCCTGCCCTGAAACAAACATTCAACTCTGGAGCTGGATGCTCTTGGTCAAGTTTCATAATCTGTATGTTTCACTGCCGATCTCTCATTCAGTATTTTCCTCTCAATTATTTGTTTGGGAAATTGTTAGTTCTTTAAAGTCCCACAAAGGTCGTATTACTTTTTCTCTAAAATGAAATAATTTTCTTTAGATACATAACTACAGAAAGGTATAATTTATACACAACAAAATGCTTTGAAATTAAAGCTTGATGCATTTAACAAATCTATATCCTTAGAGTCAGCAAACAGTTTTTGTCAGCCCTCTACCACAGCGACAGAGTATCTGAAAATCATCTCCAGGGTTGAGAAAATCACAGAGTGAGAGGTTTCAGTGCAAGAGTGACTGGCCTCATTGCTTTGGACCTGAGGAGAGATTAGATATTTACAGGGAAGAAAATACCTTGTTTCAGAATTAGAAGAATGCAATCAAATACATCTAGAATTTTTTTTAATTATAAGAATTTTAGCCAGCTTTGGTGTAGTATAGCTGAGTTGCCAGTGCTTAGAAAGGAAAGCTTCAAGTTTACATATCAATACTTGATTATATAGTTATTGAGTTGTAATATATGAAATAAGTGCACAATTACACACTGGTTGTGAAAATCCTGTATGATATTTTGTACTGAAAATATAAATTATTCAGTACAGTCTTAGTCATTGAGCATATTAGGTGTGTTTACAATGTTTGCATCATTACAGTGACATGTGGCTGAAGAGCTCTTCATCTCTTTGTAGCCTGGAAGCAAAGAACATGTTATGAAAGGACCAGGACTAGATACATTCCCCAAGGACAGTCCCAGTCAGGACCAACTGACTCCCTTTAACTGGGTCTTATTGCTAAAGTTTCTGCTAGTTCCAAGTAAGCCCTCAAATTAATAAACCTACTAATAAACTAGTCCATTTATGAAGCTAGCGCTATGATATCCAGTCACTTCCCTTAAGCCCCCACCTCCAAGCATTGCTTCAGTGGCAACAATAAGAGTGTTCAACATAAGAGTCATCGGAGAACAAATCAGAGCCAAACCATAGCACCATATAACAGAACTAGACCCATGCCAAAGTAAGTACTAGCTCCATATGGTTCTTGAGAGTTGAAAAATTGAAATATGCTGTGAGTTTACAATACACACTGGATTTCATGTAGTACTGTAAAAAGGAAACAATGTAAAACCCCTTAATTTTTGTATTGGTTACATATTAAATAATATTTTAGTTATCAGGGTAAAGTAGACTGTTAAAATTATTTCACTTATTTCTTATTTTATAAGAACTGCAAATTAAAGGTTATATATGGGACTCATTATATTTTATACAGTAGTACTGGTGCAGAAAATTCCACTGCCTTAAGACATTTGCTTATGGCCCAGTCAGCTCTGGTTCTACCTTCAAGAGGCAGCCATTGCCACCATCACTTGGCCTGTTTGGGGGAAATGAACCATTTACATCTGCACACAGTTTGAGCAAAGATTTCATTTTTTTATATGACATTTTTGAAGTGTGTCTATACTTTGCATATCAGGAACTCATTTTTTTAATCTATAGACTAGATTTTCTAAATTAAATCTCCATGTGACACATAGCTGTTCCTCTGCTCTGTGTGGTTTTCTCTGAATTGCATTTTTCCATTTATAAATACCGTATGTTTTCCTATGTCATCTTTACTTCCTTAGAATTTAGTTTCATTTTATTGATAGAGACTGATTGCCTATTTGGTAAATTAAAAGATTAAAGAGAAAGACCAAAGAAGGTTGAGATAAATGCAATACTTAAATATTACAGTTTGAGCTTTATTTTTCCTAAGTGAAGTGAATCTTTCTTTTCACTCTCTGCTCCATATGGCAGGTTGGTTACAGTTAAGATAAATCTTGGAGCTAAGTAGCATAGGTCTGTTGAGTTATTTTAAAGTTGCCTGTGATCTTCCTGCTTCCACTTCCTGTAGCAAATATGACTGGCATGAGCCACCTCAATCCTGCTAAATGATAAGCTACCCAACGTGGGACTTGAACCCCATGACCCTGAGATTAAGAGTCACATGCTCTACCAACTGAGCTAGCTGGGCTTCCCTAACCCAGAATCTTTCTGAATTGTGCAAATGAAAAATTAGTTTTCTCCAGCAGAGTCTCACTAGGTATACAAACCATTGTTACTGGCAAGCCCCATGCCTAGCAGTAGGTGACAAATATAAAATGAACTCTGACATTTTTGGAGGTTCTTTGTGTCATAATGCATATAATGCTGCTGTCAAGCTTTTTCCCCCTATTACAGGTCCTTTTCATATATATTATGGTTTCTGGTATTGTGCTTTTATGGAATTTCTGTGTGTACCAAGTGCAAGCATGTGTATGTGTGTCTAAATGTGCTTATTGTACTTTTTCTTTGGCTCTTTTTCTTCTGCTTGTTTTTATCTAATTTTTGTTATTTATTTATTTTTTAGATGTTTGTATTATAATGAGAGAAAGAAGGGGTGTAGATCTGGGTAGGTGGGAAAGAGCTGGAAGGAGTCTGGGGAGGGGAAATCTAAATCAATATATTGTATGAGAAAAAAAAAATGTATCGTCAGAGAGAGAGTGAGAAAGGAAGAAAGAAAGAAAGAAGTTGCCCACTTCTTAGGTGCTTTGTTAAAGGTAACCAACCCTTCAGGTTGAGTTGGTGCTGTGTGTTAGTTTTCCTAGTGACCCTCAGCAGTTTGTTGTGCTTCCCTTTTCTGTGTTATTACTTGCTTATATGGATGTGTACCAAAGCAAAGGAAGCTGGTAAATAGTAGAATATTTTTTAAAAAGAACTGGAGAAAACCGTGGCTTTTTACCCATGTGCTAAGTGAGAGGCAAATATGTAGCTTTTCCTGAGTGAGCTTTTCAAGGACATGGGTCTCCTGAGTCAGCATCCCATACCATTCTGTTTGTTTTATTTTAGTATCAATATGTGATAGAAAACAAAACAAAACAAAAACTCTTATGTGGTTATACTTTATTTTAGACAACTCCCTGCACTTCTTGTGGCGAGAAATTGTTACACCTGATGGTTTGAAACTCTACTATAATCCATATACAGGCTGGTAAGGCAAAATCTTATATGCTGATTTTTAAAATACATGCAGTAAAATCTATGAAATTTTTAACACATGTTCACGGTCTTGAGGAATGCTAAATTACTGTGTATTTCTGTAGCTAGGATAGACTCAGAAATAAAAGCCCTTGTCATTTTTCATGCTGAGTTATCAAGACTGACAAAATCTTGTCATGGCTGGACATGGTGAGCCATGTGCTTTAATCCCAGCACCTGGGGAGGCATGGGCAGGCAAATCTTTGAGTTGGAGGCCAGTTTGGTCTACATAGAGAGTTCCAGGCCAGCCAGGGCAATATAGTGAAACCCTACCTCTGAGAGGGAAAGAATAAAGGAGAGAGGAGATTTATATCTCAGGTACTAATGTTATTTTGTTTATAAAAGACCAACTTTTACAATTTTCATTAAATTTATCAGTTTATAGATTAAAAAAATATAAGATTCTTTAATCATAATAAATAAATCAATATTTATTGTCTTCTATATTTTTAATCACGTGTCCATAAGGACCTAAAAGGAAAAAGTGCTTCCTTCTAAAATGTATAAAATGACATATATTTATTTATTCTGTGGCCAGGGAAGGAGAGGTGCTATGGCGTACCCGTGAAGGAAGAGGACAACTTGCAGGAGACTCTTCTTTCATGTTTGTCATAAGGCTTGGTGGCAAGCACCTTCTCCTGCTGAGCCATGTTGCCAGCCTGCATAACATTTCTTTTTATAGAATAGACAAAATGCTCATTATGTACTACACCATTCTTATTTCTGCACTTAGTTGTCTGCTAGATTATTGTTATTATTTCACTCATGTTACCTGTGATTTGTAATTTGAATTGTTGTCTCCTAAATGAAGTTTCAATAAACTTTAAGTTTTTTGCATTCTTCTGTTCTCTTTTTGGGAATACTAATAAAGGACAGCATAACTTTTATTTAAAGTCTTGGACTGTCTTTTCTCTTAGCATCATTCGTGATTTCCCACATGCTGGACCACAGTTGCTTGGTGGAATCTTAGCAGATGAGATGGGTCTCGGAAAGACAGTGGAAGTTCTGGCTCTGATTCTGACACATACTCGACAAGACATCAGACAAGATGGTCTCACTCTTCCTGAGGTACAAAGAAATACTGCACTGCTCCGGAGGATGGGAACGTGGGGTGTTAAGAGACCTTACAGTGAACATGGACCATTTACTTGGCCCTCAGGTTAACCCCTTCTGTGCATTATATGGCAATGGCTTGTGTTCATGTTTGATTACCTTCAAGTGACTGCAGAGAGTGGGACGTTGGCTTCCTAGCAGGTTTTTCTTGAGTGATGCAGACCAGTTAACAGAATAAGTAGTAAGTTACCAGTCTCCCAACTAGTTAGCAAAGAACTGTTTTATAATAAGTCCTACTGGTACTTCAGATATCTTGTCAACACTATAAGTTCTAAATTGCCACTGAATATTTTAAGAACTGTCTATTTAATTACAAACCTCAGATTCTGGTAAGTAGAAATTATTGGTTGACTGATAGCTTAGTAGTAATAATAGATTGTTAGATGGAATAGATTTTATCTAAATATATGAATTTTAGAGTTTACAAAAAATAACTTCCTATATCTCCCAGTAGTGAAACCTGAAGCCAGCACATTAAGCCCTGCTGACTTTAGCCCACTAATCAAAGGTAGAACCACTTAAGAACCTTCAGGAGCCACAGGCCCACAATCTTAGTATGTATGTAATCTGTTGGAAAGTCCACATATACAAAGTAAACCTTAGAGATTTCAATAGTAAATGGAAAAGAAAAATTTATTTTTATAAATTTATATATATTTACATATATATGATGGGGGCAGGTCTGGAGAGATGATTCAGCAGCTAGGAACTCTGAGCTCTGGCTGTTCTTCTAGAGGACCTAGGTTGGATTTCCAGCACCCACCAACTGAGCAACTAACCAACCATCTATAACTCTAGCTCCAGGTGATGCCCCTCCCTCTTCTGGCCTTTGTAGACACTGCATGCATGTCGTACACAGACATATATACAAGCAAAATACCATTATACACAAAACAAAAATAAGTCTTTAAAAAAGACATTGTGAAATATTAATAACTTCTTTCTGAGATGTTAAGCTCATTACATATTTTATTTCCAAATTAATGTTTATTATTATAAATATTTCAATTCTGTTTTAAAATGTGTCTTTAAGTTTCTTTCAGAAATTCCCTATGTTGCCGGGCGTTGGTGGCACACGCCTTTAATCCCAGCACTCGGGAGGCAGAGGCAGGCGGATCTTTGTGAGTTCGAGGCCAGCCTGGGCTACCAAGTGAGTTCCAGGAAAGGCGCAAAGCTACACAGAGAAACCCTGTCTCGAAAAAAAAAAAAAAAAAAAAAAAAAAAAAAAAAAACAGAAATTCCCTATGTTTAGTTAATTTAAATAGTATACACAAATAAAAAAATGATGGCTAGTTGCAAGCTTCCAAAGTAAAAAAAAAAAAGTTTATATAATGAATGACATTTACTTATCTCCTTTTATAGTTGTATATGACTATTTTCCATTTCTTTCTTTCTTTTTTTTTTTTTGTTTTGTTTTGTTTTGTTTTTCGAGACAGGGTTTCTCTGTGTAGCTTTGCGCCTTTCCTGGAACTCACTTGGTAGCCCAGGCTGGCCTCGAACTCACAAAGATCCACCTGCCTCTGCCTCCCGAGTGCTGGGACCATTTCTTTAATAGAAGAAGGGTTAATTATAATACTCAAAATATTGAATACCAAATATTTCAACTACCAAATGTCATGTATTTCAGGGGAAAGTGGTGAATTATTTCATCCCATCTCACTGTCCCAAAGGAAAATTAAAAAATAGAGAAATCCAGGATACAGAATATGAACCAAAAGAAAAAGTGCACTGCCCCCGTAAGTGTGGTTTCTTCAAGTAGCGTCTTTTTCGTGATTTTTACTGCACTCTGTACTGTCCTCAGAAAGGTTTAATAATCACAACTGGTTTTTATTTAAATTGTTTGTATTTAACATAAGAGCATGGTTACAAGTTACATTAACAAAAATAAAGAGTTGCTCCCAGTACTACTAGTTCAGTCTGTTATACTTAAGTTTCTTCAATTTTGTTTATTTTCAAGTGTAGCTACTATGATTTCTATTAACAGATTAATTTTCCTTAGCAATGGTAGCATAGAATATACTAGGACATTCAGGAGATTTTGCTTTATAATTTGAATGATTGTTGTTTTGTCAGACAAATTAGCCTGAATAATTATTTGCTAAATTATTTCTATTAAAGTAATTTTTTCTTAATTTAAGGTCAATTTTTATTATATATTCTTTGGAATGGTACTAGAGTGCACTACATCTTTTATTTATTTTCTTAACCCAGTCCCTAATGCAGATTGACATTTTATCTTAGTTATTTTGGGTAATTAGTATATCCTTTTGTTTATCACCTTGTACATTTAGCTACACGTGTGATGATCCTAACAGCTGTGAAAGAAATGAATGGGAAAAAAGGAGTTTCTATTCTTTCTATCTATAAGTATGTCAGCTCCATATACAAATACAATGTTCAGCGGAACCGGAGTCTTTTGAAGCGGATGCTAAAATGTTTAATCTTGGAAGGTCTTGTGAAACAGATCAAAGGCCATGGTTTCTCTGGGACTTTTACACTGGGGAAGAATTACAAGGAAGAAGATATATGTGATAAAACAAAGAAGCAGGTAACAGCATTTATTAAGTAAATATACTTGTAAAAGGATTTTTCTTTGGGCCACCAGCTCACAAAAAATGACGTAGTGACTTATTAATTATGAAAGTTCAGCATATAGCTTAGGCTTTTCCCACTATCTCTTATAACTTAAATTAACCCATTTCTATTCATCTGTTTGTTGCCACATGACTCGTGGCTTTTACCTCTCCTCCTGCATATCTGATCCCTCTGCATCTGGCTGGTGACTCCTTTCTTCTTCCCAGAGCTCTCTTTGTCCAGAAGCCCTGTCTATACCTCCTGCCTAGCTGTTGGCTTTTAAGCTTTATTTTAAAACCAATCACAGTGACACATCTTTAACACAGTGTAAAGAAATATTCCACAACATTTCTCCCTTTTTGTCTAAATAAAAAAGAAAGATTTTAACTCTTACACACTAAAACTATATACATTATCAAATAGCAGGTAAGAATTCTGTTTACAGTGTTCGATCTGTTTGTATTTGGCAAATTTAGAGAAAATATTCCATTATCTGTCCTCTCTTGATAAGCCCAAAGTGTTATACCTAAACCATTTTCTATCATAACTTGTATTATAATCTTAAAACTATCTTTTTAAACCTCAAAACATTTTTTACATAAACAATTTAAGCCTTATGGGTCTCTCAAACTTACAAACTTTACATCTTTTATGTAAGTTTCTTTTCTGAATTTGGTAACAAGGAAAACTGTAAAACTATAACAATCTAGTCTTCAATCTCCATCAGAGACCCAAGAAGGATAAAATATTACCTGAGGAAACAGGAAGTGCAAAATAAACAACTTGTAAAACTAAGAAATGATAGATATCAGGCTGTCTGGACAGTCACCCCAACATTCCTCTGTAACATTGAAGCATCCATCTTCAGCCTGTGGGCCTAAAATATCTGACATTTTCTGTGAAGCAGGATTTTTGAAGGACTGTCCTACCACGTCTTGGCAAACCTTGGCAATCACTTTCTTTTGTGTCCTGCTTGTCCAATTTGGCCAACACACTGTCAGCAGTCAAGGCAAGAGCAGTTTCTTACCCAAATGGCTGGCTTTTGCCACAAAGAAAGCAAACTCCATATGGAGGTTCTTTGATGCCCATCATCTCTTTTTGAAGTAAATTGGTACTGCCAGCAGCAGACAGGTCTTACTGTCATGAAAAGCCTATGTTATTAAAAACTTTAAATACCATATTCTTTAGATCTTTGAAGTGTTTGAAGATCACCTGTCTATCTAAAATGTATCTCTGTATGTCTTGAAAACATACCTAACATGACTATAAGTTTGATAGTTTTAGATGACTAACCATTAACCTGTATTTCTTTATTATCCTAAATAGCTTTCATGAACTAAAAACTTTATATTTTTAAATGAGCTGTGTAGGTATAATACTTTAAACAAAAATAGAAACATATACATGGCATAAAAATAGCTTTAAATTTGTATCAGTATACTAAAATCCATACCAATGCAAAATATTTGAGAGTAGTGGTTATGTAAACGACTCAGCAGTCCACCCTTTTATACCGTCATTTCTATACTATATCCCCCATTTTCTCTTCAGAAAGAGATCCCTAAATCTAACTTCCTTTGTTTAGTTTTATTGTTTTGACCATGACCAATAACAACTTGTAACCAACTCCCCTAAATGAAGTCAAACACCCATAACCCACCAAATAACCAAAAACCACCCACCCCACCTCTTGCCATACAGAATAAATAGGTAGATCCTACCTTGACACTAAAGCTTTTAAAGTTTGCAGACAAAAATCAAAAACAAGTAAGGAAAAACCTTATCCCAGTGACTTATGTTTTCTACTTTCTGAATGTAAATGTCACAAAAGTGGTAACTATTTTAGTTACATTTGAATCCAGAGAAATGTGGTTTACTCATTAAAAATACTCAATGAGATGAACTCTAAAATTAGTTGTTTTCATATGCCTTAGAGTTTAAGATAACTTGTCTATTGTTATGATACTGTCTGCAATTACAAACTTTGCTCCCAGCTTTAGCAATAATGCCTCAAATTTATATATACCTATTTATATATATTTCAAGTCTCTTTATATAAAATTATAGTGTTCCCAATGCCATCATCCTATAAAACATTTTATATTTTGTTATAAAACTGTTTTCATTGGGCCAGTAATTTCAATTTGCTTTTAGAAATATAATCACAATACATGTAAACATTATTGAGGAACAACTACTGACAACAAATCAAATTATGAAAGCCTTTTCTTTGGAGACACACACAGCGCACACACATACACACACACACACACTCCCTCTTCATCTTTTGGAACAGGTAATGTCCACCTTGTGCCCAAGCAACACAAAAGACTGCAGTGAGCTGTGCTTTTGTAATCCCTCTGCCACACGGGGAAATCTCCAACCAGTGCCATTGTTTCTGTGTTAGTCGCCTGGCTCTTGTATTTGCCCTTAGTTCTGACACCTTTTTCCCAGAGCTGTTCCTATCACCTACCTGTTTGTCACACTCCACTTGTGTTCCGTGCCCTTTGTAGGCATTTCTATAGCTCACTTTTGCTTTGACTATTCAGAGAGCTGTTGAGACAGATACCAAATGTACTTCTTTTTTATACCCTAGTACCTAAGAGAATTCCTGGCCCAGAACTGACATTCAAACCATGGGTGGCAGGAGGCACACATGGATAGGAGTTTGTTTACTGATTGCAGTAAATAGTAGATTAACTTCCACGGTTTTTGTACTTGATGACTTGGTATTGTATGTACTCTAAATTTCTGTTATTTGATTGATTTAAGCAGACTTTAAATCATAAATCATTAAGAACAATGAGGTAATCTCCCTTTATCTTTCTGATCTGTATCTCAAAGCAAAACTCTATAGGGATGAAGTAGAGCCTTTGCTTTTCTGAGGATTACGGAAAGATGTCTTTCAGAGAGTAAATTAGAGAACATTTGTCAGGAACAATTCTCCTTGGGTAAAGACTGTTGAATTTGTTTGTAAATATATCAAGTTTAGAGTTTAGTTTCCAAGTTATAACTTTATTGACACGTGTTAATTAAACAATTCTTTTTCATAGGTGGTGGGGAGTCCAAGGAAAATTCAGAAGGAGTTAAGGAAATCAGTGAACAAGGACACAGACTCTGAATACCTGCCATCAAACACTTCTGATGATGATGATGATCCTTATTATTATTACTATAAGGCCAGAAAAAGCCGTAGTAAATTGAAGAAAAAACCTGTGTTCCTCCCTAAGAAGGAAAAGAGACAGCCTATCAGTCCAGATCCCCAAATTCACTCTCCAGCTGCTGGTGACGCTGCAAGTGCTGATGCTGATGTGTCGGGAAGGGCACCTGCCTCTGAGGACAAGAGAGACCCAGAAGCACAAGACCGTGCTGGCTCTCCAAAGCCCGCTGATGAGGAGTTGGCACATTCTAACACTGTGAGTCCCTGTGAGTCCTCTGATTACCGCTTTGAGTGCATATGTGGTGAATTTGACCAGATTGGCCGAAAGCCGAGAGTTCAGTGTCTGAAGTGTCACCTGTGGCAGCATGCAAAGTGTGTGAATTACGAGGAGAAGAATCTGAAGGTTAAGCCTTTTTACTGCCCCCACTGCCTTGTTGCAATGGAGCCAGTGTCAACAAGAGCAACGCTGATCATCTCTCCAAGTTCCATTTGCCATCAGTGGGTGGATGAAATCAACCGGCATGTGAGATCATCATCTCTTCGAGTTTTGGTAAGGCACTGAGCTAAAGAGGGAGAGAAACATGTAAATAAATGTGTGTTTCTTCATGATAGTTTTCATTGTGCTTTTAATTTGTTTGCATTTATTTTTAATATTGTTTATTATTTTATTTATTTGGAGGGAGAGTTGGGGCAGGATTTCACATAGCCCAGTATAGCTTCAAGGATGACATTGAACTCTGATCCTCTACCTCTCAAGTGCTAGTATTATAGGCATCTGTATCTAATTTTGATTATGTATTATTTTACTTTTCTATATGCTTTTGTTTTCCAGAGTTTTTTGTCAATGTTTTTATACTTTTTTTTCAATAAATTGAACCCAAGACCTTACAGATGTTAGACAAGCACTCTAGCACTGAGCCACATCACCGTCATGTTTGTATATTTCTAAAATTATTAGTTATGACACTAATACTAGCTGTGCCAGAGCTTTAAGAGGATATTGAAAGAAGAAACAGAACAGTCGACTATATCCTTTTCTGACTCCTGAATTTTAGAAGTTGAGAATATGTTGATATGAAGGCTTTTGTAAAATTCTTGATTATCAAGATGAAAATGAGTTGTTACAGGCATTTGTGATTTGAGAGAGAGATACAGTTCCAGGATAGCATAGTGTAGTTGCAGATGCTCATTCCAACCTGTCACCTTGTAGATACATAATTCTCTCTGGAGTCTCAATTACCTCATTAGTAAAATTAAAAAAAAAAAAAAAAAAAAAAACCTGATTCAGCAGATATTTATTTGGTACATATCCTTTCCAGGAACTATACTGAATTCCAAAAACAGCCTCACACAGGCTTGCTGTGTAGATGAAATTAGTAAAGTGCTGGCCCATAGTCATTGGGTGTTACTGTTGGCCACATTTCTTTTCTTCTTCCTCCCATGCAAATAGTGTAGATTTTCCATAGTCAGCCATTGTCATGGACATGGGGACTGTAACAATAAATAAAGCATCTTTTTTGCCGCTAAGAAGCTCTATTCTGTGTGGATGGGACTTTCAGACTTGGGTCCTTCAGTTTTGAGCAGGTCATTGTTTCCTCTTTGGGGGAAAGGAGTAATAATACCTAACAGTATTGATGTTGAAGTTTGGAGACAGTGTTTCGCACGGTATCTAAAACAAGAACGATACTGCATGAATAATAGCTGTGATTGCTCTACTTTCCCAACCACTGTATTCTCACACCTCTATCAAATCTGTCGGCCTTGCCCACATTCTTTCCTCTTTTTCCACTATATGCTCACACCCCTATTGAGTCCATTTAACAACCTGCCTACATTCTTTCCTCGTTTTTTCTATTTGAAAGAAATCTAAGCATTGCTTCAAAAAGTAACTGAAACATTAGCTCCTCCAAGTTCATGGTCAGCTGCGCAGTTGGTCTTTCCACTAACGTTGCCACAGTTGCTTTGTGATATTTCCATTCAAGTTGTTTATGTCACGTGGCTCCCACAGTAGACCATAACATTTCTCTAGACAGCTTACAATCTGTCTGTAGTGTGTGTGTCCAAATACAAATTTAGAAAGGGCTCAGTTCAGTAGGGATATAATAAGTGAATGTTTCTATGGCCTTTGTCAAGGTTTTCTATAATAACTGTTGGTTCTGATTATTTCCCAGGTATATCAAGGAGTGAAGAAAGATGGCTTTTTACAGCCTCATTTTTTGGCAGAACAAGATATAGTTATCATTACTTATGATGTCCTTCGTTCAGAACTAAACTATGTTGATATCCCACATAGCAATAGTGAGGATGGGCGTCGCCTGAGGAACCAGAAACGCTATATGGCTATTCCCAGCCCCCTGGTAGCAGTGGAGTGGTGGAGAATCTGTCTTGATGAAGCCCAGATGGTTGAATGTCCTACAGTAAAAGTAAGAATCTCCACAACATCCTTTGAGTGCTGATGAAGGAAGAACGTGAATAATTCAGTAGTTGAAATTTAGTTAACCCACACTAGTGATATTGTTTGAACATTTTTTGCTAAACATTCTTATGTTATGAACTACATAATCCTTTGAAATTAACTCTAATTCTCTGAATGATACTTCTCTATGGAATACTTGGAGACTTGGTTGTCAATGTGTGTATGACAGTTCAAAGCAAACTATGTTTAGGGACTTCTAAATCATTTAAGCCAACCTGAAGGTTATGTTCTTAGTATGTTCTTAGTAGCCTTAATCCAAGGTTGACTTTGGCAGATGACTTCAGAAAATAAACTTTATGGTATAGAATTTTATTACATCTATCTCTGTGTGTATGTGTATCTCGGGTCTTCTTCTGTGACTCTCCACACTATTGTTTAAGATGGTCTCTCTAGACCTAGAACTTGCTCATTTAGCTTGACTGGCTGGCCTGCCAGCCCCAGGGATCATCCTGCTCTTTTTCCGACGCTCGGATTCAACCACGGTGCACGTTGCTTCCTTCTTCAGTGCTGGGGATCCAACCTAAGGTCCTAGATTGTAGCGAGTGCTTTACTGCCTGAGCTATCTCCCCAGTCTCATATTATTTATCTTTATTCTGTCTGCATTGACCTGTCTACAACCTGAACTGAATTGATGAATCATATCTCATCATACAGAAGCTTACCTCTATAGGAAGGAGTGGTGAAGGGGGTGTATTCATTCAGGATATTTTTTCCTTCTCTGCATTCTTGAACTATCCCTACATCTCAGGGTGGCTCGCAGTGAGCTCCTAATGAGAACCACTCTATTGGGTACTGGCTTATTAAGTATGACATTCAGCAGTGAGTGTGATAACTATTAAATAAAAGCAGATGTATCTTAATGGAAATGCAGCTGTTAGTGGCTGTTTTCATGAGGAAATGTATGACTGATTTCTATGTTTTATTTCATACTTTTCTTTCATTAGGCTGCAGAAATGGCCCAGCGTTTGAGCGGGATTAATCGGTGGTGCATCAGTGGCACTCCAGTACAGAGAGGATTGGAGGGTAATACAGACTTTCCACAGTCACCAGACTTAATGAGCTTACTTGTTTGGGGGGCAAATACAGCAATGCTTAATTTTTGTCAAAATCTTTATTTATTTAAGTATATGTGTACTTAAAGTTTGTTCCTAATAATTTAAAGCATTTATCTTTGTAAATAGAATTTGGGTGATATCTTCAGATACATGAGGACAAATACATAGTGAGCATTCCCATTGCTTTACATTGGTCAAATATTGTACCCCTTCCACAGTATAGATACAGGTCTCAAGTCAACCGGAATTCCAAAGAAGATTTAGAACCTGAGAAGGAAGGAAAGCATGAGACAGAAAATCAAACTTCCTAGTAAGGGAGGCTGAGGAGAGTGACGGCCAAGTTGAGATTTTCAGTGCTGTGAAGTGACTAGGAGAGGAAAGGAGTCTCTGTGATAGAGGAACCAGGCAGCTAAAGGTGATGTGGCGGCAGAGCCCTCAGAAGAGTGTCAGTATGACAGAAGTACAGAGAAACCATGTGCATGCCGGGACTGAGTAGACAGGTATAGAGAAAGCCAAAAGGGACCTTTTAGACCACAGTACAGTGTTTTTGTTATTCTCTTAGGAAAAATTGGGAGCTCTCAGAAGAATTTAGACAAAATGATTTATGCTCATCTTGTAGATTAATTTATATTTCAAAAGATGACTCATTGTAACATGGAAAATGATTTAGCAGAGAACAGAGTATATACTAGGATATCAGCTGATTGGCTCCAAGGATTGACGGAGGCAAGTGATGTGAGCATCATGGATCTGGACTAGGGTTATCTTAGAAAAACAGAAAAGTTAGATAAGGAAAGTTAACAAGATATGTTGTGTTGATACATTTCTAACTCATACATTTCTCTGTAAATAATACTAGAGGAAAAACATCTCTGGGTAAGAAGATTGTTAATTTGTCATAGGCAGATATAAATTTGAGGTTTTTAAAACCTCAGTGAAGTAGAACATAAACAGTTGGACTGATGTGATCTGAACTATAAATCTGTGATTCCTACAGATAAGCATATGTTACTAATGCCCATGTGCTATCAGAATCACTTAATTCAGCTACATAACAAGGCCCTGTCTAAAAAATAAGTAATTTCAACCTAAAATGTCAGTCATCTTCAAAGGATGTTCTAGGTAGTTATGATTTTTACATTTTTATTAGTTCCTTTTAGTCTTATAACCATGTGTCTTGATCATATTCGAATACCTGCCTCCCCTAATTCTTCCACAGTTCACTCACCAGACCAGTTTGTGCTGCCCAAATATTTTGGGAGAGTGGCTAATTTTTTTTTGTTTTTGTTTTTGTTTTTTTGTTTTTCGAGACAGGGTTTCTCTGTGTAGCTTTGCCCCTTTCCTGGAACTCACTCTGTAGCCCAGGCTGGCCTCGAACTCACAGAGATCCACCTGCCTCTGCCTCCCAAGTGCTGGGATTAAAGGCGTGCGCCACCACCGCCCAGCTGAGAGTGGCTGATTTACCAGTAGCTGTACTATTAAAGAAAACTCTCTCCCTTTCCCAGCACCTAACAGTTGCCAATAGCTCCAGGGCTTAGGGCGGAACTTTCCTCTCCATGTTGGGAACTTCATCTGGCTTGGAATTATGGAATTTTAAAAATAATTCTTACTCCTTTTGAAGAGACCATATACTGTATTTTTTTTTTCAACTAATGATACTTTTATGTATCATAAAATTATACTCAGAGCTGAAGAAATGGCTCAGTAGTTAAGAGTAGTGATTCACTAAATAAGTTTTGTGTCTAATTTCATTTTTGTCTTAGGCTAGTTCCCCAGAAATTTAATTAGTAGATCATTAGGGATGTTAGGTCAGAGTATATTCTCTGTATCGCATGAGATTACATCTACTTTTTCTTCATATTTTTCTCAAAGTCTTGCTTTGATACATGCATCTTAGCAAATCTACTACAGAAGTTTTCACTGCCAGGCTTTCGGATTCAGTGCAAGCTTTGTGTGGTAGTGTTCCATTGTAAGTGTCTCAGGAGTTAGAGCAGAGCCTGGAGCACAGGAGAGTCTTAGAAGTGTAAATTGATCTGGAATTAAATGTTCAGATGCAAGAGACTACGAGATGCATTCTACTTTCTGACGAGTTCTGTGTGTGCTTTGTGGGTCTGTGGGTGATCTTAATGCAAAAGAGCAATAAAGAAATCCAGAAACAATTGTCCCTGATGTCCTGTGCTTTCCCTTTGCAGATCTTTTTGGGCTGGTGGTCTTTCTTGGGATTGAACCTTACTGTGTCAAACACTGGTGGATTCGACTTCTCTATCGCCCATACTGCAAGAAGAATCCTCAGCATCTCTACAGTTTTATTGCCAAGATACTGTGGAGGTCTGCAAAGAAAGATGTTATTGACCAAGTCAGTGTGCCAACCTTTTCCTGACTAAGGATATTACAAGGAAACAAAGCTGGGGTGAAAAGTTAAAATTTCGGGTTAAATTGTTCTGTTTCCAACTTCCCGTTACAGATCCAGATTCCACCTCAGACTGAGGAAACGCACTGGCTCCACTTTTCCCCTGTGGAGAGGCATTTCTATCACCGTCAGCATGAGGTGTGCTGCCAGGATGCCGTGGTGAAGCTCAGGAAGATCTCCGACTGGGCCCTGAGACTGAGCAGCTTGGACAGAAGGACTGTCACCTCCATCCTGTATCCTCTGCTGCGGCTCAGACAGGCCTGCTGCCATCCACAGGCTGTTCGCGGGGAGTTCTTGCCACTCCAGAAGAGGTTTTCCCTCAGTTTCCTTCCCTATGGGGTTTATATTTCAGTAGTATTTAAGCACTTTTGACTCCCAGTTTTACTCAGGGACTTTGGCTAGGTATCAGGGAATTTTTTGGGGGTGTTTTTTGTTTGTTTGTTTGTTTGTTTCATGGTTTTCTCTGTATGGAGCCTCATTTGTGAAAGAGTGATAACAAAAGTTTTTTTCATGGCTTTGAACATTTCTTTTAAAATAAGAGTAATTATAACAGGTTTTTGTGGTTGCATTTTTGGTTTGGAGAGATTTTATTTGTCTGTACCTTTGTCTGTCCCACTGTCCCACTCCTACCCCCCAACCCTGTGTGTGCGCTTTTCAAGACAGGGTTTCTCTCTGCAGGCCTGGCTGGCCTGGAACTCGTTCTGTAGACCAGGCTGGCCTGGAACTCAGGGATTTTCCCGTCTCTGCCTCCTAAGAACTTAAAGATATGCACCACCATACCTGGCTACATTTTTTGTTCTTAGTATACTTCTAGTTCCCCACATGAGGGAGCAGCTAGATTACCACTAAGTATTATCTTTATAATTGTGCTAGTTATGTCCTTTGATATGTTTTATTGTTCCAGAATTTTTTTTGCAGATTGGACTGCACCTCAAAAACTGGTCTGTTCATAGTACCTGATATTAATAATAAACTCTTAGCTGTCAAAGAGTTATAAAGAGGATTATTTTGGGGGTTTACCTTTGAGTGGATTATAGGCAGCTAGAAATAGCAAAGATGATAAATTCGTACAATATAAGCTGAACTGATAAGTTTTAAGAATTACAGATTGCTATGGAAACAGTTTCTATTTAAATAGAGATTTATGACATCCTTCTAATGGAAATGACATTTGACCATTGTAGCATCTCTTACTTTTTATTTTTTAAACTGAAAATTAAATTTACAGTAAAGCGTAAATTTAAATAATTTGTAGTGAGGGGATTGATTCAGACCCAGTCTTACATTGCGATCCCTGTACTATTTCAAATGGATTGTATTGTAGTTTGTACTTAAGAGAGATTTTTCTAGATCCTTTGTCTTTTGAATAAAGTGTGAAAACTTAAAAGAAGGCAGACCAGATACAATATTTGCTGGATTAGTAACAAGTAATAGCAGAAACTGTAAAACTGAAGGTGAAGGGACCGGAAATAGTTCAGCAGTTCAAAGTTCTTGCGACTCCTCCAAAGGACTGAGTGTGGTTCTCATTACCCATGTCAGGCAGCTCACAACAGCCTGGAACTCCAGTTTCAGGTGGCCCTCTCCTGGCCTCAGTGGGCGGGCATACACACACACACACACACACACACACACACACACACACACACACACACACACACACACACCATACCCAGACAGACACACACACGTACTCAGAAGTAAAAAAAATGGTGAAAACTGCTGTAAATTTGTGCAGTTTTCTGTAAAACACTGTAAGAGTCCTGTACCCTTCACCAAGCACAGTGTGACCTTCCTGCTGTGATAGTACTTGGAGGTTTCATTCTGGTTTTGAAAGATGTCTCTTCTTTTAGCACCATGACAATGGAAGAATTGCTCACGTCTTTGCAGAAGAAATGTGGAACTGAATGTGAAGAGGCCCATCGGCAACTAGTTTGTGCCCTCAACGGCTTAGCAGGCATCCATATCATTAAAGGTAGAAGGTGATTACTTTGTTATATCTGATTCTTACAGTTCTTTTTAAGGAAGGTTAATTACAGAGTGATGTTCTCGCACACTATTGATATGAGTTAAAGAGGTTGGATTACACAGAGAACCTTACACAGAACATGTCAAGAACAGTCAGTGTACATGGACCTTAAGCAAACACTTCAGGAAGCTTTAGAGATTAGAAAATTTTAGGAAATTACAATATGAAAAAAGATTTTATCATAAGATATTTATTTCAGTCTCTTTTTTTTCTTTTTGGTTTTTTGAGACAGGGTTTCTCTGTGTAGCTTTGCGCCTTTCCTGGGACTCACTTGGTAGCCCAGGCTGGCCTCGAACTCACAGAGATCCACCTGGCTCTGCCTCCCGAGTGCTGGGATTAAAGGCGTGCGCCACCACTGCCCGGCTATTTCAGTCTCTTATAGTGAAAAATCAGAACATTTAGAAATAGAAAAATGATTAAATTTTAACACATTCCTGGAAATATTGTTCAATGATTCTTTTTTAAAATAATGGTACTATAAGTTCTTTTTTTTTTTTTTTTTTTTTTCATATCATGGTATATGCCAGTGTGATGTAGAAAGGAAGATGCAAAATAAAATCTTGGATCTTGCATATACAACTAAAACCACTGTTTCCAAATAGATACAACAAAAATTGATAGACCTGTTATGAGAGTAGACAGATCTGTAATTGTAGTAGGAAGTGTCAGTACTCCCTCAGTTATAGAACAAGCAGATAACACTGTGTCAGCACTTAGCCACTAGAACAGACTTGACTGAAGTGGCCTGGTAGGCATTTACTGAACACTGTAGCCAGCCACAGAGGAATATATACTCTGTTCAGGTACACATCTAGGGTATAAAGCAAGTCAATAACATAAAAATTCAAGTCTTCCACAGTGGAATTGAATTTGCTATCAAGGCTGGTGAGGGGCCTCAGTGGGTAAAGGTACCTACTGCCAAGTTTGATGACCTGAGTTCAATTCCTGAGACCCACATTTTGAAAGAAAAGAACCCATAAGTTGTTCTCTACCTCCAAGTGTGCACTGTGGCATGCATCCCCTCCTGACTCATAAATACATAATTAAAAAATAGATATCAATAAAACATAACTAGAAATAATTAAGGTATTTTAGGGGGGAAGTAACACTAAGTATAAAGGAGATTCAAAAAAGAAGCTGGGAAGTGTTTATGAGAACAAAATACCAAGATGTGTGAGGTGCAGCACATCAATAATTACAGGAAATTTGAGGCACAAAATATTCAAAAATGTATTTATAGTTCTATTACATTAATCTCTTTTATACATTAAACTTTACCATAAGAATATGTGCCTAAGAAAAAACTGTATACACAGGGCTCAGTACTGCACACTGTCAAACATTCACTGGGGGTGTCTTGGTATATAGCCCCTGCTGATGAGGGGAGATCTGCTTCATAGTGTTAGAGGTAGATAAGGAACCATCTCCTGATAAATAGCATTTCCTTCAGTCCTCCACGGTAACCCTCTTGTGCACCATCAAGTACCATGTTGGTTGCTAGTATACTAATGCTCTACATTGGTGCATGGTCATGAGGAGATTTTGCAGCTGTTCTCATTTACTGGTAACAGCTTAAAACACCACTTAAAAGGGGGCTTGAGTGGTAGCTAGGTGAAGCTCCTTGCCTTGCAAGCATGAAGATCTGAGTTTGATTCTCTAGAACACGTGTTTAAAAGAATCGGTCTGGCGCACTCTTATAATCCAGCACTGGAGAGACAGACAGGCCATCCAGCCTAGCCATGAAGAGACCTTGTCTCCAAAAGCAAAGTAGACAGTACCTGAGCAGGAGCAGCCACTCCATATTGTCTCTGGCCTCCACACACAATTGCACACACATGCATGTGCATCCCACACGCACATTTACCTGCACACATACATACACCAAAAGAAAATTATTTATTTAGAGAAATAAGTACTTTCTGGAGAGTACAAAATAATGTTCTGAGCCTTGAATTAGGTTGCTTTATCTGTTCTTTGGCATTGCAGAGTCATACTAGGAAGTGTCTCTTCCTTTCCCATGCAAGCTGGGTACAAGTAGTTCACTCAGAACATCTGTGTCACAGTCCATTAGATCACAGTACAGAGTAACCCTTGCTTGCCTCCCCAAGAAAGTGTCATTCTTGTAGGAGGCAGAGAAACACTGAAAACTTGGGAACCAGATCTTCCTTGTGTTACAGGTTATAGAATGAAATTAAACCAGATTCTTAGTAATTTCACCTTGTTTACAATGTAAATTTTATTTGGCAATAATTAATAATAGGGCAAAAATTTTAGGTTATGTCTGATAAATTTTCCAAATATGGCACCTACAGCTTTGAGAAAAATCCTTATTTTGGAACATTGCGAGGCTTTTTTAGCTGATAGTATTTATGAATTTATATTTCATCTATTTTTAAACATCATAGCATCATTTTGCTAAGCATGTCCTGACTGTAGTAGTCTAGGAATCAGCCTAAACTCTAAAATACCTGGGCCTTACAGTCCATAAAGATAATACTAAATAGATAAACACTATATTGAACTTAGTTTTATACCAGCTTGGACAGAAAAGGGAAAATTGGGAAAATATATATCATCTAATAGCAGCTTTTTACAGTGCCAACTTAATTGAATAGAGTAATTGTGGTTAGAGTTTGTAGATTACTTGACTATTATAAGTGAAAAATATTAATGCTTGACCTTGAAAATGTATGAATAATGAATGTAATATTTAAAATACTTTGGGGTCATTGAAATGTAGCATCCTATCTGAGAAATGGTCATCCTCTAACCCGTAAAATAGGTTTCTGTATAATTAATTCAGTCAGGTGGCTGTATGGCCTTGGCTTAGCTCAAACTTTGTATTCCTCTTTCCTCAGTCTCCTGAAGCAAGTTGAGGTTACAGCTAGAAATGATCTTTTCCTCCTCCTCCTCCTCCTCCTCCTCCTCCTCCTTCTTTTCTCCTTCTTTTCTCCTCCTTTTCTCCTTCTCCTCCTTTTTTTGAGACAGGGTTTCTCTGTGTAGCAGCCCTGGCTACTTTGTATCAGTCCTAGAACTCACTTTGTAGACCAGGCTGGCCTGGAACTCACAGAGATCCACCTGCCTCTGCCTCCCGAGTGCTGGGATTAAAGGCATTCAGCATCACACCTAGTTCAAAATGATCTTTTTCTAAATATATTTTATATTATACATAACAGTTTCTTTTCTATATACTATTTTATTCACATAATTGCTTGGTGGTTGGGGTGTTACCCATTTTGCTTAAGGAAACACATTCATAGGGGTTTAGTTGCTTTCTCAGGATCATGCTAATGCCTGACATGGTGCACATGCCTGTTATCCTACCTAGCACTTGGGAGTCAAAAGCAAGATATCTGCCACAAATTTGAGACCGGCCTAGTTTATATGGTGTTTTCTAGTTCTGGGTTACAGACATGTACCATCCCACCTGGCTCTCTTCATTTTATGCTATTATAACAAGATTAGATGATGAGTAGATTTCCCTCTTTTAACTTTTATCCTGTGTCCCTCTCTGATTGTTTCCTTTCCCTGACCTGATGTTAGGATTGGGGTAAAACATCTCATCCGCTCTTTCTCAAGCAGCCTTACTTTGGCAGAGTGAATGTGTATAGGCTCCTATATAAGAGTCCAGTGCTGCTACCAGACAAGCTGCACACCTACTCTTTGCAGGTGATTTTCACTGCATCCCTACTGTAGTTTCTTGTGTGTAGGCAGAATTACAGTAGCTAATGCTGTTTAGACTCTGATTATACAGAGATCAGTCAGTAAAGATTGAAATTTTAAAAGAAATCTACACTTCTAATTCTAGAAATACTTGTTGATATTATGGAAATGTGTGATATGTAATGAATACTTTCAGATCCTCGGTGACTATGGTATTAAACACGTAGTATTACGAATTTAAACAACATGCTTCCTACACATAGATACTCTTTGGAAAAAAGGAGCTTGGAATCATTCAGTCTAGTACAGTAACTTGGAAATATTTTTGCCATCAAGTGGCTGAGAATGTGTATTTCCAAGTTTGGCTTTGTCTTAAATTTGTTAAACTTGTTGAATATACATATTTTGTGTTTTCCTCAGATAATGTATTTCTAATAAAAATGAACCAGGTACTATAATGAATCATATTTAATCAGCTGCTTAGATTATGGTCTAAGTCACGATATTTCCATAAATGAGAACTTACTAGATGATTGTCCCTTATAAATGGTAGTATCGATACTAATTGTGTCCCTATACCAATTGAGTGGCATTTCAATCTCAGCACTAGGAAGGCTGAAGCAGGAAAATTGGAAGTTCAAAGTCAATTGAGGCTATATAGGGAAATCCTACTTGAAAAAGAAAAAAACTCAAAGAATTTGCTGCATGAAGAAAATTGAATATTACTCTTCGTTATATCAGGTGATCTTGTTTTTATGAAAATAATCTCCTTTATACTGAATAGAAATTAGCTGAGTCCTCAGTATTATGAAAGTGTGTGTTTTAGAGTGCTTTATATTAGGTGTATGTATATGGGCATGTGTGTATATGCATACATACATATACATGGACATTTATATGAGTTTAAAAAGGGGGAAAGGAGGGAGAACAAAAAGTCAAATTTACAGAAGTGTGCATATCTATATAGAAAATTTATTGTGGTTACAAATATAACTCCAAATATTAATAAAACTACTTTGAAGTTGTTTTTATTTTTGGGAAAGAGTAACATACTTTCTTGACAAAGAAACAGCAGCATCTTTACAATGCTTTTATATTCTTTTGTGGCATTCAATTTAAATTTAATTTGTAATTTACTAGTTTTGAGATTTTCCTCAGGCAGCAAATAAAAGTAGATGCTATTATTTAAGCCACTAAACTTGACTCTTCTCGCCTTTGCTTCGGCATCTTCACCCTGTTGTAATAAGCCAGAGAGGACCATGTAGGCTGTGTGAGACATCCACTCAGCCCTGTTTCTGTAGCACACAGGCAGCTGTGGACAGCACAGGAGTGAGCAGAGCTGGGCTCCAATGAGACTGTGTGAGGTGGTATTGTGTTCCCCGAAATATTGTGCACCCTAATAAATTTATCTGGGGTCAGAGACAGAATAGCCACAATATTAAACATAGAGGATAGGCAGTGGTAGCACACGCCTTTAATCCTAGCATTCCAGAGGCAGAAATCCATGTGTTCAAGGATACAGCCAAGCATGGTGACTCTCGCCTTTAATCCCAGAAAGGGAGCTGTTAATCCCAGGGAGTGATGGCAGAAGGCAGAAAGATATATAAGGCGTGAGGACCAGAAACTAGCAGCATTTGGCTGGTTAAGCATTTGACTGGTTAAGCTTTCAGGCTTCTAGCAGCACAGTTCAGCTGAGAACCATTTGGATATGAGGACACAGAGGCTTCCAGTCTGAGGAAACAAGATCAGCTGAGAAGTTGGCCAGGTGAGATTAGCTGTGGCTTGTTCTGTCTCTCTGATCTTCCAGTGTTCACCCCAATACCTGGCTCCAGGTTTGATTTTATTAATAAGAACTTTTAAGATTCCTACTACAACTGTGGTCATTGTAGCTTTCATGTCATGAAATGCTGTCTTGACGTTCTTTCCACTGTTCAAATGTAGAATTCGGCTCGGCATGGAGCTCAGTGGCACTTTGTTCACTTGCTTGACATACACAGAGCCTGACTTTGATCCCAGCACCACAGAAAATAAAAATATAAAGCCATTCTTCACTGAGAAATTATGAAAAAAAGCAGGTCAGACTTAACCCAGTCCATTGTTTGTCAGGCTGTGCTTCAGTAGATGCTTTCTGAAGTGTTTGCTGTGAAGAAGCTGCTAATTATAAACAGAGGAAACAGCATAAGCACAAACTGGTGATGATGGGTGTGACTAGAAGTGGAAGGATTGCTGAGATTGTCTCTGGCTTCTGCACATTTTCTCTTGTTTTGTTCTAGTCCAGGTGGCCTTGGGCTTGCTGTGAGGTGTAGTAGTTTGCTGTGAGGTGCAGACTGACCTCAGAGGCCCCATCCTCTTCCCTCCTAGTGCTAACATTACAGGCAGCTCTTGGTTTTTGAAGTGTTGTTTTAATTATTTTTCTCATTTTTGAGATTATTACATAGTTACACCATTTCCCCCTCCCTTTAAACCCACCCTTGTATATTCCTTCTAGCTTACTTTCAAAATCATGGCCTCATTGTTGTTACATGCATATATGTTTATATACAAATATATTCTTAAATATAACATAGTCTGTGTATAATGTTACTTGTATGTAATATATGTTTTCAGGGCTGACCATCTGGTACTGGGTAACCAATTGGTGTGTTCTTCCCTGGGGAGGACTTTCTCCCACTCTCAACATTATACTTAGTTGCCTGTAGTTCTTTGTGTAGGGATGAAGCCTCCTAGTCTTTCCTCCCCCAGTCTAATTTGGTATGTGTGTTGTTATTGTTCTGTTCAGCTCATGGTTTTAATTGAAAATTATGTATGCTTTATACTAGGAATGAGTAATATATATCAAGAAAAGTTTGGTTTTTTTCTGAGAATTAGGTGGATTGGTCAGAATGTTATGAATACTTGTTTATCACTATTGATGTCCCAAGTTTGTCTTTAATTTTAAACTATAATGAATGCTAATTGGCAACCTTTACCCCTAAGAAGAGGAATTATTATTTTTTATACTTAATCATTTTGCTGTATAATTTTAAGGCATTATAAATATATTTTATTTTAAATATATCTCAATACAATTTGAAACAATAAAATACCCTGTGGAGTAAAAGAATGATAATCACCTTTAAAGAAAGAAAGCTGGAATAATCCTAATTCAATGTCAAATTCTTTAACCTACAAAAAGATGAGTTACAGGCTTGGGATGCTAGCTTGGTAGTAGGGCAGTTGTCAGCATGTACAAAACCCCGAGTTTATCTACAACACTGGAAAATCAGTAATAATGGCCATAATAGGAATTAGAATTGTTCTTTTTCTGGTACAGCTTTTTAGATTAAAGATAACTGGATAACACTTGAGAGTGATGTGACTTGTGTCCTTTCACTGCATTTTAATTCCTCAGGTGAGTATGCCTTGGCAGCAGAGCTATACAGAGAAGTACTGCGCTCCTCTGAGGAGCACAAAGGAAAACTCAAAACGGATTCACTTCAAGTAAGTGCAGCCTGAAAAGTGTCAAGTATGCATTCAAGTTATTTCAAATAATGACTTTTTAAAATGTTGAAATAAAGGGTATCAGTGAACTAAGTCATAATAACTAGAGATAAAATCTGGGATTCATTCTTTTTAATATGCCCCTGGATTGATTTGTGTATATGATAAAGTTTGAGAATCACCATTGTTCTCTATGCAGGCCTACACTGGAAGATAGTTTTAATTATTTGTAACTCAGAGAGTAGGCTAATTTTATAATTTTCCCCTTGCACATCAACATGTTTATTCAAATAGCTTTCATCAAAAAGAAAATGAGCTAAACTAAGAGTGAAGCTGAATAAAATAAACGTGACCCGTGTCTTATACTTTCAACTTTTAGAGGTCTTTTAGGAGGATTTGCATATTTGAATTATAACACTAACTGTTCTTTCCCAGCCAATCATAGATAAGATTCTAGCTAATTGAGAAGTAAAGACGCATTTATTAATCTTAGCAAGCTTGGGTTTGATACCTAGGTAAGTTGACTTTGTCATTCACAATAAAGACTTTAGGACTTAGGTATTCATGTGATACAGTGAACACTTGGAAAAGTGTATAAGAGGGGGCAGGGATGAGGCAAAGGTCAACCAAAGATGTACTTATATTCTACAAAGAATAACAAGGGAGGACGTGGACCATAAACACGTGTGTACCTCATGGGGAAAGATGTCTTTTTCTTCAAGAAAGGAAATAAAAATAGAAGAGGTGCAAGAAGACAGTTTGAGTTCCGAATTTATGAATTCAAAATTAAAAGATAAGCGATCAGCTTGGTTCTTGTTTTTCCTTAGTTTATGTCTGCTCCCTGAATCCTTACTCTGACCAGTCAGGGCACCAATGCTGTTATGCTTGGACAAATGCTACACCTGTCTTCCCTTCTGACTCTCGCACAAAAGCTAATAGGTCATTTTCCACAGCCCACACAGAGAAGATCGAACACAGATCTCTAGTATCATTTGCACCTGTTTGCTATGAAATCTGCTAGTACTACTCACTGTGTGGCTTAAGGAGCCATGTTGAAAAGACCTAAGATATTTGAGGTAACGTATACTCCACAGAGACTTATGCTACAGCTGGTAACCTATGCCCAGATAAAATGAGACCTGAAAGTCTCATTTCACTGGCACCAAATCGTATACCAGAACTCTATCCTAATCATCTTTTAGCCTAGCATCTTCCCAGGTAAAGTGGTAAATTAGCAGTTAAACCACTGTGGTCTTACTTTAGTTTTGCTCATTACCTCTAACCTCTAGCCAGTTGCTGACTCAGTATCAAGGTGTGTAGTAAATTATACATAATACCGAAATCCTTCCTCTAATTTCTTCAACCCCAGTGTTTTCCCCTTTTCATTCTTTAAGCTCAGTGTGTTCAGATACCAACTGTTTTCATTATCTTTGTTTTTGTCATAATACCGTGTGATTCATTCAGACTGATTTCTAGAAAAATAATCAATACAGTCAACCTTTTTGCATTACTGTGTAGCTTTGAATTTCCTTTAATTCCCTGAGTATACTATTGCATGTACAATAGAAATAGTATGGCCGGGCAGCAGTAGCACACACCTTTGATCCCAGCACTTAGGAGGCAGAGCCGGGCGAATCTCTGTGAGTTCAAGGCCAGCCTGGTCTACTGAGCAAGATCCATGACAGGCACCAAAACTACACAGAGAAACTCTGTCTCAAAAAAACAAAAACAAAAAGAAATAGTATACCATATACTCTGTACTCTACTGAGTACATAGCCATGCTGCAGGAAAATGTATATTGTTAATTGAAGAAGATTCATTATGATTTAAGACCTTTGCCATTCATTTTCCTCTTTGGGGGGAAAAGTTACTCATTTTCAGAGGAAAAGTGTTCAGCAATAGAACCTCGGAATTCATGCTCCATGTGCCACACAGTAGATGTGGTGTCCACTGCATTGCATCATCGCTTCACCTTTTGTGTGTTTATAGAGACTTCATGCCACACATAACTTAATGGAGCTGTTGGCAGCCAAACACCCAGGGATCCCTCCCACCTTAAGAGATGGCAGACTTGAAGAAGAGGTAATTGTTATTCTATTTATAAAAGTTTATATTTTCAAACTTTATACTTCATTTAGTTGTTATTTCTGGTGTATAACATCTAAGTAAATGTAGCCAGTCATGTTTTCCTGTTATTTTGATGTTCTAAACTTTGCACTGGTGACGTGGAGTGGCAGAGAATATTGGACTCCATATTATTTTGATTGTCTGGTGATCTATTTACCAATATGTTACAAGACTTATATATACTGTGTTAATGATTAACAAATGAAAAGAAGATTCTGATTTCATGATAGGACTATAAAGAGTGTAGTTCAGTAAACAGAAGAGTTACAGACATTCTCTTTCTATATTTTAAGAGAGCACATGAACTCAAAATTTCTCAGCATTTCTCTCTAGAGCAGTGGTTCTCAAGTTTCCCAGTACTGTGACCTTTTAATACAGTTCCTCATGTTGTGACTCCCACCATAAAATTATTTTCATTGATACCTCATAATTAAATTTGTAACTGTTATGAATTATAATGTAAACATTTGTTTTCTGATGGACTTAGGCAACACCTATGAAAGTGTCCTTTGGCTCCCCTCCATGGGTCATGACCCACAGGTTGAGAACCACAGCTCTAAAAGGTTCCTTTTATTGAAAGGAATGATACTGTAAGTTATTTTACTAGAAATTCCGAATAATTTGTTATACTAATTCTCCCAAGGACTTTTGCCTTTTTTAAGATCGAAGAGTAAGAACATAACTAAAATCAAAAGAGTAGAGATAGTTGAAATATATTGAACTTCAAAGGAGAGTTTTTATAGGTATTAGCAAGATAGAAAATTGGAATTTTATAAGTACATTTATCCCTTTTATATTTGTTAAAAAAGAGTTTTTTTATTGACAGAATTGCATAAATTTATAGAATACAAAATGGTGTTTTGATATATGCAGATATTGTGGAGTGTCTCATTCAACATAAATAATCTATCACCATTACTTCATATACTTAACTTTTATAGTGAAAATATTTAAAATCTCTCAATAGTATAGTGTGGCTATAGTCATTGCTGTATAGTCCTTTGACCAGTATTCCCTTCAATCTTCAGCCACTAGCCACCACCATTCTCTCCATTTGTAAGTTTTGCTTTTTAAATCCCACATCAAAGTGAAGTCGTGCAGCATTTATCTTTCAGTGCATTGGTTGTTTTATTTAGTGTAATGTCTGTGTTTATCTTTGTTGTTACAAATAACAGGAAATTTTCTAAAGAATGTAGCATTGTGTGTGTCTGTGTGTTTATTACTTTTCTTTTCATCTGTATATGTGTGTGGTGTGCATGTATGTGTGCATGCTCTCATTTGTGGGTACATGTGTGTACATGAAGACCTAAGATTGAAATCAGGAGTCATTCTTGACTGCTCTTCTGTCTGGTTCTTTGAGGTAGAGTCAGTCAAACTCTGCCCAGAGATCATTAGTAGAACAAGTAGTGCCAGCCATCTTGCCCAGGAGATCCCTCCTGTCCCCCTTCCAAGACTGGAAATAAAGGCAAGCTGCCATGCCCACCTGGCATGTGTGTGGGTTCTGGGGATCTGAGCTCTGGTCTTACTGCTTGTGAGGCATGCACTGTAACCACTGAGCCATCTCTCTGGCTTCATATATCATATTTGTTTATGAATTCTTTGATCACTATTCTTTAAAAAGGTGGAAAAGTAGTAAGAATAATTTTATTCCTGGTAGTATTATTAGTCCACTAGGACTTTCATAACAGAATACTGCACACTGAAGGCTTAAAGAATAAATATTTCTTACAGTTCTAGAGTTTGAAGTCCAGAATCAAGGTGTATGTCCTCAAAGCTATGGGTTTAATTTCTCCTTCAGCTCCTCTCTTTGATTTAGGTACTGCTGTCTTCTTATGTGGCCTTCGTTTCATGCTTGTACATCCCTGGTGTTTCTGTTCTCATAAGGACTCTACTAAGGCACTACCCATATGCCCTTTAACCTTAGTTACCTTCTTACAGGCCCCATCTCCAAGTGCGGTCACACTAAGGGTCAGGACTTCTACATACAAATTGTACAGGAACAGGTTCAGTTTCTAACACCTTTGTTACTGTGTATCTCAAGAGTTATTTTTAAACTATAGCAGTTCTTAAAGGCAACAACTAATCAGAGAAGTAATTCTGTAAGGTATCTCTTGCCTCACTGGTGAAATATTAATGTCTTTTTTGATCCTATAAGGGACAAATCTTTAGGATTTTAAAATGTTTATGGCTTGGACATACCAATTTTGTTCTTTTCATTGTGTATCTTAGAAGTTTCTAGAACGACTATATACTTTACACTATGGAATTTTATGTTTAAGTCAAGGAACTTTATATGTATGGAGTGAGCACATTGGTACTAAAAACATGATACTAAATTATGTTCCAACCCTCAAGTAAAAGTTTATATTGACTTTCTGTTTCAACACAGGCCAAGCAGCTTCGAGAGCACTATATGAGCAAGTGTAACACAGAAGTGGCTGAAGCCCAGCAAGCCTTGCAGCCTGTGCAGCAGTCCATACGGGAGCTCCAAAGGAAGGTACTGATGTGTGGGCTTTCTTGTGCTTGTCCCCAGGTAACAGTTGGGATTGATTCTGCTTGCGGGAAATCTTGAACTTTTTTTTCCCTTTTGAAATCTTAGCACCTGTTGAGTGCTTCTATCATAACACAGATGTCTTCGTTACTTTTCTACAGTTTATCAAAACACCATGACCAAGGCAACTTATGGGAGGAAAAAAACTGTTTAATTGGGCTTATGGTTTCAGAGGTTAAGGAGTCCATGATGACAGAGCAAAGGCCAAACAGCTGAGAGCTCATGTCTTGATCCACAAGCGTAAGGTAGAGAGAGAGAGAGAGAGAGAGTATACTGGAAATGGAGTAAGTCCTTTGAAACTCAGAGTCTTCCCCTTGTGACGTACCTCCTCCAACAAAGCCATACCTCCTAGTCCTTAACAAACACTTCTACCAACTGGGAACAAGAATGCAAACATAATAGCCTGTGGGGGCATTCTCATTAAAAACCACTACAATAAGTTTATTTACAATTAGTAGTGTCTGTTCTGGAGTGGGCAGGTAGGTAGTTGAGTCAACTATGTTGAAGTTCAGTTTTATTTCTTTTAAACTGTAGTAGATTCCTTTTGATGTTGGGTAAATAATAGTTTGTCCTTTGGAGAAAGTCTATAATCCACTTTTGATATTCGCTATGTCCCTCCCCACATTTAGAAGCACAGGTTTTATCCTTAAAGACTAGATGCCATTTGTCCTTTCTAAATTTCTTTTTTATGACACCAGAGCAAAATCTAAGATGAGGCAACACAATACATTGTCTTTTACTTAGAATTTTTATTAGTTGTTCCATGTGTTACACTTCCTAATTCATTAATTGTTTAGTATCTAGTCATAATTTTGTTTTTATTCAGTGGAATCCAGTTCGATATTCATTGATTAGATCTACTTTCTTGAGTGTTGGCCTTTACACTTAGACAGAACTGAGTTTTCTTTTTGCTAAAATACATTTTAATGCAGCTTTCATACACAAGTTTTATATAAAGTCTCATTCATCCAGAGTATTCCAAAGAGCAACTCTCCTGCTATGAATACAAAAGAGATATTTGCCCAATATATACAGAGGTTGTGTGTCTTTCTGTGTGATGTAGATAATGTAAATACAGTATACACACATTTATATGTTATCCTTTGAGAACAGAACTTATCAATATTTTTCAATTTTTCACATCACCTTTCTTGGTGAATGCTAAATATATTTACTAATTGATTAATTTTGGCCTTTTTCCCAGATTCATTCTAATTCTCCTTGGTGGCTGAATGTAATCCACAGAGCAATGGAGTTTTCTGTTGATGAGGAACTTGTTCAGCGGGTGCGAAATGAAATAAGCAGTAACTACAAGCAACAAACTGACAAGCTTTCTATGTCAGAGAAGTAAGAAAATAGCACAACACAGAATCACTGTGTAATTACCAGTGTCTAGATCATTTGGTATCAGGAGGTGCAGGTCATTGTCCCAACATACTTAGGAATGTGTAGGTTTTCAAATTTTGTTGAGTATTTCTTTTTGGTTTTTCGAGACAGGGTTTCTCTATGTAGCTTTGGAGCCTGTCCTATAGCTCACTCTCTAGACCAGGCTGGCCTCGAACTCACAGAGATCCGCCTGCTTCTGCCTCCCGAGTGCTGGGATTAAAGGTGTGAGCCACCACTGCCCGGCTTTGTTGAGTATTTCAAACAAAAAAATCTAAAACAGAGACTTTTTTTCCTTAGAGTAACCATTTGAAGTATTCTTCTGTTAGAGCCTTTAGGGTCTGTTCTTGGTTGCTGTTGTTGTTTCATACTTACTCTTTTTGATGGTTTGAGACAGAGCCTCTCAAAGTAGCCCTGCCCCGAACTCATTATTTTATTCTCTCCAACTTGAAGACCCACCTGCCTCTGCCTGCCTGTGCTGGGATTAAAAGCTTATACCACTACACCTGGCTTAATTACATTTTTATAAATATGCATCATTTTTCTTCTCAATTTTGTTTTCTTCTCAGTTTTGTTTTAATCTGTAGTCTACGTTCTCCTAATAGGGAAAGACTATCAGAAGATAAAGTCTATAGTGATTCAGCCTTTAAAAGTTTGAATGTGTTAGTCCTGATCCTTGAAAGATACTGTATGTTCTTTTTTAGTTCCCAAGAATAGAATTGTTAAACTCTTTGGCATCTTTTTGTAATAGGCAATGCATTGTATTAAACCTTGAGTACTGGTAGGTACCATTGGGTACTCGGAAAGGAAGTCTCAGTGAGTGTATTAATTTGACAGTTTAACAGTATGATTGACAAACATTTTCTTGTTACCTTCTTTGTCTGGTGTGTTGTGCTGGTGATGGGAATAAGGTTCCGTGACTGCAGAGGTCTTCAGTTCTTACTTACAACACAAATGGAAGAGCTCACTAAGGTCCAGAAGTTAGTGAGAGAGGCTGTGAAGAAGCTGGAGAGACCTCCATCCCGTGATGTGATTGAGTCTGCAACAGTCTGCCACCTGCGACCAGCTAGACTCCCTCTGAACTGGTGGGTGGCAGGGAAGTCATGCAGGGTACAGTGTTTTCTAGGAAGACACATTTAATCTGATCTGAGGCAAGAAATAGTTGTTCATAAGTTGAACCATTTTCTCTTAATTCAGACAGATGCAGAAATGTATTTTTAAAATAAAGCAAATCAAGGATTATATGCTTGACAACCATGTTATTTTTATTTTTTTTCTTAAGTTCTCATTTGTTAGAAAAATAAAAGACAATATGCTAAGCTTTTTTTTTTTTAGAAATTATCTTATTACTTCTTATTGCTGTTAATATTTGTGAATATTTCTGTTTCAGCTGCGTCTTTTGTAAAGCTGATGAATTGTTCACAGAGTATGAATCAAAGTTATTTTCTAACACGTAAGTTCACTGATTATTACCCATGAGGAAAAAAAAAAAGCATTTCAAAGGATTGAATGATTATGTGACTCTATTTTCTTTTATGACCTCGGTTATATTTTTTCCTGTATTAAATCAATTTAATGACTGTTTGGCATCTAACGTGCCCCATTTTTTCATTAGAAGTTACCCCTAAATGTTCATGAGGGACAGTCTGTAATTATGGTAATGAAGAGCAGTTGAGATTAGTTGTAAGATCCCAGGCTCAATAGTCTGATGGATTTGAACTCAAATCCCTGTCCACTGACAAGGGCAAATCGCCTCTCTGACCCCTTGAAGTGAAGGTGACGTTACCCTACATTTTCTTAAGTACTAAATAAGAAAATACATATAAACTATTTAGCAAAGTGCTTAGTACATAGTAAGTAACCAGTAAGAAAACAACAGCACTTGTTATTGTCTTCTTCAGAGACCTTATCCATGTGTTGAGATTGCTGTACTTAGGGCGTGTAGACATGGCTGTGTTCGGATTGTGCCACTTTGTCTTTTCTTCTGTTTTTTAATAACTGGTAATGGTTGTGGCTCAGCATTCTCAGAATGTGATTTAGAATGAGCTAAGAGATTTATTTATTTTTGTTGGGTGTTTTTGTGTGTGTGTTTTGTTTTTGTTGTTATTATCCTGAATTGTGCTCATGAAACACTAGGCAAAACACATACACCTGTAATCTTAACCTTTGAAAGTTAAAGGGAGGGCATTCAGGAGTTCAGGGTCAGCTTCTGCTATGTAGTGAATGTGAGCCTCGTCTGAACTACAAGAGACTCTGTCTCGAAAATATAAAACAAAACAAAAAAGCACAAGACAATTTTCAGAATTGCTGTTGTTTTTTCAGAGACCTACAAGTATTACCTTATTGATGTGAAAATTGCCACAGAGCTACTGAACTTGCTTCTCTTTTGTCCTGATGGCATCCCTCTGCTAGTTACTGGCAGCAGTTCGAATTGTTTGGTTCTGGTATCTTTTCAGAGTCAAAGGCCAGACTGCAATCTTTGAAGAAATGATAGAAGATGAAGAAGGACTTGTGGATGATCGAGTACCTACTACTACCCGGGGCCTGTGGGCAATAAGTGAGACAGAGCGGTCTATGAAAGCAATATTGTCATTTGCAAGATCACATAGGTTCGATGTTGAATATGTAGATGAAGGGAGTGTTTCAATGGATCTCTTCGAGGCATGGAAGAAGGAGTATAAGGTACAGTTATTATAATAAAGGATAATGATACTTGGCCAATTCTTTTTATTAAATTAGTTAAATTTTATTAAAAACAAAAATTATTAAACTGACACTTGGAGTTAATCATAAACCTTTGTGTAATTATGTGTTTTATTCTATTACTAGCTGGATCTTAACAGCTGTTTTTTTGGGTTTTTTTTTTTTTTTTTTTTTAGTTTATATACATTTTCTTTCTTTTTAATTTATTTTATATGCATTGATGTGAAGGTGTCAGATCTTATGGAACTGGAGTTACAGACAGTTGTGAGCTACCATGTGGGTGCTGGGAATTGAACTCAGGTCTTCTGGAGGAGCAGCTAGTGCTCTTAACCGCTGAGACATCTCTCCAGCCCCCTTAACAGCTGTTTTATGAAGTAAACATATGGCTTTATTTCATTTTTGCATGGGGAATAACAACCAAACATCAGTATTAACTTTGAATATTATGGAAGATAGTAAGTACTTTTCAAGATGGAAATATGGAAACCATTGCAATGGATACAGCGTAAGTTAGTCTTTAGTTTTTTACTTCACTAATTCCATTGCTCTATAACTATATGAGATGTGCTTCTGGGATTTTTTGATAATAATTTTTCATATTAAATTATCTTTGATCTTCGGATGTGAGATGGGTAAGGGGAGAGAAAGTATTTTTAAATTATAATGTTATGTTTCCATGTTACTACTTTTGTAATATTTTAAGGCAAAATAAAGAATTTTGTGTCAAGAGAAGAATATATTGTCTAAAATGTCAGTTCATACATTTGATAAATTGAGGAATGATACTTTTATAAAGTTGAAATCATTAGCTCATAATATTTGCTATTATAAATGTAAAGCACATGAACACAAGCCATTACATCTACCATGGAGGAAAACATTGTTCTTACAGGGCCCTGTCATTCTTGTATTGTTTTCTATAGCATAGTCTTGTCGCCATGTGCGCTGTGTCTAGATGAGTGCTTAGCACGCCTCTCTCCATCTTTGTACAATTTTCCTTTATAAATGAAAAACGAATGCGATACTGCTAGATCCATCAACTAGTATCTACTTCAAAATGTTAGTGAAGAAAGCTTATCAAAGTATTTATAGTGATTGATAACATTTTTATAAATTTTGGAGAAGTTGTATAAGTACAGTATTTTTCTAATGAAAGGTGGGATTAATACTAATTGCTAGTAATTAATAAATAATAATGAACAGTGATAAATAATAGTAGTTAATAGAAATTGCCTCTTTGGCTTTGAAAGAGGAAATATAAGGAGATAATGATACTATTAAGACTTTCTAAGGAATTTGTCTGATTAACTCTTGAGTTCAATGGTGTAATGGTGTGTGCTCAATCATTTACTTCAGTAATCTCATTACCACATGTACAAATTATTTTGAATATGTGAATATAATATAAAAATATTTTAAGACAAAAACAGTGGTGATCACATAAATCGAGTATCAGTTTATGTAGAGCTTTATCTCACCACAAAATCTTTAGGTATTCTGTTCCTGAAAAACTGCAGCAGCAGCATCCTACAGGGTTATTTTCTCCTATGTCCTCATCCTGAATTAGCCTAAGGAATTAAATTTCCTTGAACATTTAATACAAAAATGTAGGCCTCATCAAAGCCTTTTGCTCAAGGTCCATCTCGGTGATTTTGAACAATTTGAATTCTGTGTCCTGCTACTGTCTTTATCTTTCCCTTCAGTTACTTCATGAATACTGGATGACGCTGAGAAATCGTGTGTCAGCTGTTGACGAACTTGCAATGGCTACAGAGCGACTAAGAGTGCGCCATCCCAAGGAACCAAAGCCAAACCCACCTGTCCATCACATCATTGAACCACATGAGGTAGTTGAGAGTAGATCACAAAAAAGGCCACAGTAAAATCAAAGATGCACAGGAAACATAAAGTCAAAGCAGTGATGTCTTCTAGAAATAGTTACTGCTATAAGTATGAGCCATATGAAACAGTTTTTATAGGTCAGAAATGAGCAGTTTCGTTCATATGTGATACATGTTTAGTGTGTCCACTGTTGGGGTACGTTTTGTTTGCACATTCATCTGTTTTTTAACACTTTCTATGCCTCAAATATAATATATTCTTGGCCACTTTTAAAAGTTTTTTTTTTTTTTTCTTTTGATTTTTGATTTGTGTAGCCCTGGCTGTCCTGGAACTCACTCTGAGACCAGGCTGGCCTTAAACGCAGAGATTCTCCAGCCTCTGCCTCCCAAGTGCTGGGATTAAAGGTGTACACCACCACTGCCTGGCTTAGAGATGGAGAGAAGTATTTTATACAGCCTCAGTTTTACCAGAATTGGAAAACATGTTTTTCAAAAGACACCAGAAGTTTTTATTCTGTAGGTTCTTCCTCTTTCTAATAGAAGGTGTTTACAATGTGAACTCTGATAATCCCCATTTGTATCAGGATTCAGTCAGAACTCTACCACTTTCCTGTTCCATAACAAAAATTTTATTTTTATCCTCTAGGAGAGTTTAATACTTTACATGGATCTCTTTTTGTAAAGCATTTAGACTGTAATTTTGAAAAAGTTTAAGATAATTTATTATGTTTTATGCTGTTAAGTATGAATTCTCAGTGATGTTTTTCTTCTAATGTGTGTTTCAGGCTAAATTTATAGCACTACAAATGAAATAAACAATAAGGAAAATCCCTCTCATTTAATTCTCTTTTCTTTCTGGTGTACTCCAGAAGGGGAAGAAGAAAAGTCAGGGATAGTCTTCCTGGATGTCATAAACCACTTTCAACAAACAGTGTATCATGTCATATATGAATTATTGAGAAGTGGCACAGAAATAGAATTCAGATTGATTTTTATCCAATTTTCCTTTACATCATGATGCTTCCATTTAAAAGAACTTGATGGAATTATTTCATCTGTAAAACGAAGTCCTTTCAAAGTGTTTTCAGTAGTCATTTTGTAAAATTGAATTTTAATGTATAAATGGATTTTTATAAGAGAAGACGTGACTTTGCATTCAGAATTATACATGTTTAACATAGTTGAGAGAGAGAATAAGCTTTTTGTTTGTTTGCTTCTAGGTTGAACAGAACCGTATAAAACTGGTCAATGATAAAGCTGTTGCTACATCACAACTTCAGAAAAAACTTGGACAGCTTCTTTACTTGACAAATTTGGAGAAGGTATTGCTTTTCTTAGTGCCCCTTCCCCATATTATATTTCAAGAACCACTTAGTGGTAGTTTCCACTTAAAGTCCTGTGGGGCTGGAGAGATGGCTCAGAGTTGAAGAGCACTGGCTGCTCTTCCAGAGGTCCTGAGTTCAATTCCCAGCACCCATATGGTGGCTCACAACCATCTATAATGAGATCTGATGCCTTCTTCTGGCCTGCAGACATACATGCAGGCAGATCACTGTATACATAATGAATAAATAAATATTTTAAAAAAAATAAAAAAAATTAAAAAAATTAAAAAAAATTATCAGTCCTGTTATTAATAGTACAGACATTTTGCTTGTGTTATTCGGAGTCAAAAGTAGTTCTGTCTACAATGACTCTACAGACCCTCTGCCCCATCTTCTGCCTAGCTAGTCATGAACTGTTGTGTCTCCAGGAGCATCCTGTCCCTATCAGTCCAACCCATCCCAGAAAGTACCCAGGTGACCTGTAGAATTGTGAGAAATAAATGGTGAATTACTTTAAGCCACCATGTTGTAGGTGATCTGTTTTATGTGATCTAAAACAGATCAATATTAAGATTAAATAATTTACTCAACTCTTTTAAATGCCTGTATAAACTAATTTTTGGGTCTTTATAGTTACTGAGCTTAAATACATTTCAGAGTTTTATTTTATTTTTCTATTACCACTTAGCTGTTAAAGGTTTTTGTTTTGTTTTGCTTTTAATGTTTGAATATTTGGTTAGTGAAACCAGAAAGAAAATTTTTAGTGATCTTTTATTCAATTTACCATTATATTGTCTTAGCTTTAAAGCTTGTCCACCTGGCTGACTTTCTGAAACTTGAAAATTTTATAAGAATTTTAAGGAGGTGTTTAAAATCTTTTACAGTTTGATAGGATTTTTAGGCACAGAGGTCTCAAGTCAAGTATTTACTGCTCTCCAGTTATTTGCTTAGTGAGATTCAAATAGAGATGCTTAGAAGCAACAATATTAATACAGAGCTGTGCTAAATCACAGCCTCTTCTCTTCTCACACCTGTCTTTGTATTATATATGCATTATAGCACACACACTTCTACATATGCGTTATAGCACACACACTTCTACATGTGCATGATAGTGCACACTTCTACATATGCATTATAGTGCACACTTCTACATGTGCATTATGAGTGTACACTTCTGTGACATTTAAGGAGCCTTTTATTTAAGATGAGAAATAGATGGTCTTATGTAACCAGAGCTTCATCACGATACCTTGAATACCTAATTCTGTTTCCCAAGTGCTAGGATTAAAGTTGTGTGTCACCATAGCAGTTAATAATTCATATTTCTTTATGATAAAATGTAGTCTGAGGATAAAATGACAAAGATTTAGCTATTTGTATTTTGATTTTAATTTTGCTTTCAATTGTAATCACAAATATAGTACTATAATACTTTAAGGTATGGTAAAATGAAATGGTTTCCTTTCTTTAATTGTGTCCTGAATGAATTATAGAAATAATAGTATTAAGCAATACATAAAATATTAGCTCATCTCACTAATTAGATAATTCAGATTGAAATTACCAACACATACTTGTACAAATGAATTTCAAAGCATGCATCAAGTTCTGAATATAATGACATGGCTAACATGTTTTGGGGTTCTTCCTTTTTCCCCTAGTCTCAAGACAAAACATCAGGCGGTGTTAACCCAGAGCCTTGTCCCATCTGTGCTCGACAGCTGGGAAAACAGGTAAAATTATGTCAAGTGTCACGTGGTCATAGAGCACCTCACAGGGTATAAGGCTTCTACACTAGTCGGCCGTTCTCTGTTTCCTCATGCACACACGCACGCACGCGCACACACACACACACACACACACGCTTTCTCATAACTGAAAGAGGAGTATTGAGTTCTCATTTCAGAGATAGGGCCAGGGCTCAGTTGACAAGCTTAAGGCTACAAATGCTTAAACCATCTTTTTCCTATCTTTTCCATTAAAGATTCATAGTTGGGAATGTATTTCCAGATAAGACATTGTTTCTAAGTAACTTAATTTTGCCACATTCACGTATTTGGTAATTGAACAAAGTATAAATAATATAACACAAGTTTAGTGGGAAAGGTAGTACAGAGGCATAGTGGTATAGCTTTTAACACTAGTAAAGTCTCAGGTTGATCCCAGCTTTAAAGGATGGATAGCTTCTAGCAGAATTTACATGTGTTTCTGTTGTTGTTGTTCTTGTTTTGGTTTTTTTGTTTATTTGTTTGGGTCTTTTGAGATGCTTTGGAGGAATTAAGCACAGTCACTTGTGCATGTTCGTGTAAAAATGCCTGCAGACATGACAGCACCATTTTAGTTCTCCAAGAATTCATATTTCTGTCCTACTACTGACTTATTCCTGCTTTGTAAATCAGCATAAACAGTATCAGAATTTGAGTTACTTTGGAACATTTGAAAGATAAGCCTACTCTTAAACAATAGATTTTTCTCTGTGGAAATAAGTGTTGTTAAATGTATCATTTCTATGTTCTGATCAACAACAAATTGAGAATAAAGAACCTTTTAATCCAACATTTACAGAGAAAATTTCTCAAAAGACACTTTGTAAATGAAAACAATATGTTCTTAAGTAAGGGGTCAGGCCTTGGAGATTGTTTAGTGATAGTGAATGTGCCTACCTTGCAGCTGGCTCTGGGTTCAAGTTTTCACACCAAAAGAAGCAGAAAGGTGGAGTTGGAGCGGGTCAAAATAGTGTCTTTAAATTTTAGCTTTAGTGAAATTCAGTTGTCTCTGAAATTTTATTTTGTCTTCTGACAGTTTTTAAGTTTTTTTCATATACATTATTTTATCCAATTCTAATATTACCATGGTTTCCTGAACTTAAAATTGAATTACGAAAATAGTGATGAATCTCTAGCCCCGTGCTAGAGGGACTCTGTGTCCCACATCCCTGCTGATACTGTTAGAGATGTTGCCATTTGTTCTCAGAGCCAATTTAGTGACTGTCCTGTTATTCCTACTCTGCTCAGGTGACTCAGTGATTTCTTCCTGTTACGAAAGAAGGTGGACCTATCTTGCTCTGTACCTTATCAGTTGAATTTCTGTGAGTCACAAAAGTCCTATCTGTCTTATAAATATCCTAAATTTCCAGTGTCACTTGAGGTCCACGGGGTACTGAATAGTGCTGCAGTGGGAAGCAAGCCTGTATGAGACAGGTCTGAGGATTCTGGGTCAAGCCCTTGAGAGCATACATGAAACTAGGGAGAAAGAAATGTGTTACCCAACTGAAACAAGATGAACTTCTTTCTCGGGAACTACTTCAAAATCATGCTCTTTATCCCAGTTTGTTCTTTCCCTGGTATGGATTGCTTTCCAAGGAGATTCCTGGACCCCTTTCAAAGTACTGTCTGGCCCTTTCAGTACAAATACAGACATGTCCAAATCCTGGACAGACCAACACAGCTGAGAGTCTAAGACCCCGTTGCCATAGAGCAGTGAGTGTCCCACAAAAGTTCCAGTTCCTGTGTCATTGAAAACAAATCTGAAGCATTAACCATCTCATTTTCTATATAATTGTGTTAGCAATTCAATCTAAATAAATTGAGTGGCAGTGAGTGTATTATCTCCAAATCGATGTTGCTCTCAGTTCTTCATGATCTGCTGTTAGAGTGCTAATGGGGTAATCTGAAATGAGAAGGCTAGCTTCTTATAATGGTTGACTAGTTAAGGTAAGTGAAGCTGAGAATTATGAAAATATATTTTCTTAGAGTAAAATTCATCTGAAAGCATATTTTACATGAAATACTGGGGAATTGTAGTTGTAAGCCATCTCCCCTGTTTATGTGTCTGTGGAGAGGAAGGACTCATCGACCACCTTCTCACCAAGACTTGTCATGTGTGTTTTCTTCTCAGTGGGCAGTGCTGACCTGTGGACACTGCTTCTGTAATGAATGCACGTCTATTATAATTGAACAGTACAGTGTGGGGTCTCATCGAAGCTCCATCAAGTGTGCTATCTGCCGCCAGACCACATCACACAAAGACGTCTCCTATGTCTTCACCTCAGAGAAAGCAAACCAAGAAGATGACATCCCTGTAAAGGTAAAGTAGGTCAAACACACACACAGTCAAAGCAGTGCCACAGCAGTTAGTATCTGATGAAGGGAAGCATTAAATAACCTTGACACAGTGAGTCTTAGAAACCACTGTTCACTGTACACACTGCGGGAGGCTGCAGCTTTATCACCAGCTTTCCCCTTGTGGGAGAGCTCAGCACTCACTCACCAACATGACTAACTGCAGTCATGCCGACTAAGAGCTAAAGAATGCACTTCCCTGTCATTTATGCGATTTCTCTTCATTATAAAGGTTTTTTTTGTTTGTTTTGTTTTTTTTAAAAAAAAAAGCTTTCTTCTTATTTAGTCCCAACTGAAAAAAAGTGGAGGGGCTCCTGGCATTAGTTGATTGTCATAGGATGACACAGTATGCTATAAAACACTGTGGACTAATACTTCAGAATACAGCTGAATTTGAGTTTATATTCCTTACTTTCCCGGGTTTCATTCAGACTCTTAAAAAATTACTAATTCAGTGTACAAACAAGATCCACTGGACTTTCTACCCAAAGTGTGTTCATTTATTAAAAAACACTTATTAGGTGTTTCTGTTGCTTATTTTTCTTACATGTGCTTTTTGAATTTTTTTCTAATGACTTGGTCAAAAGGCAAACCAGTCTGTAAATGTGATAGATATCGGTGGCCGGCTGAGCAGAGTGGACAATAGTGGAGCTGATGATAATAGGAAGCCGCCGACTCCTCATTCATTCCTTCTTCTGAGCTCTTGATGCTTATTTTTTAGGAATGTGTTTTCTGAGTAGAATTGGAGGCAAGTTCAAGTTACTGACAGAATTAAGTGTTCTATAGAGTGTTCTTCCTCCTAAGAAACTTGCAGTTCAATTAAAGAATTGGTCCTTGCTTTTTTCCCCTCTGATATTTGAGTAAAGTTTAAAGTGTCAATCTCATTGCTCTCTGGTGTGTTCAGTTGGAACAAATTTCCATTCATTCTTTCCATGCATATTTGTTAGGTATATCCTGTGCCCCAGGCAGTATTCTAGACCTTGGAGATGCAATACACAGTCAACATGTGGTTTCTATTCTCATGAGTTTTACAGTTTTGTGGTGGGAATGTGGAGAAGGAATTTGAGTTACAGCAAGAAATACAGACATTAAACAAAAGATTTTTTTTTTATAATTATGATAAATACTACAAAATAAAAGCCATCCTGAGCTTTTCTGAAGGAATGACTATTAAGCAGACAGGATCTAAATGATGAGGGGATTAACCAGCATGGGAAAAGGATGGAACTGATCTGTGGAGAGGAGATTCCCAGATAGAAAAAGAACACCCAGTATGTGAAAAGACCAAGACAGAAATGACTCAGACGAAAGTGAGTGGCTGCAGAGCAGTGGGCGAAACTGAACGTACAATAGAAGGGCTGGTGGGATGGGCACTCGGGCTTTAAAGCTTCACGATCTTTCTTGCTACAGCCTAGAAAAATCAGTTAGCAGGGATAGAAAAGAATAAAAGAAAAAATTTAGATGAGTTTAGGAGGCCACAGCCATTGTCTACTTCAGAAACTTTAGGTTGATGGCAGCGGAGATGGGAAGAGGTGGGTATATTCCAATACAACAGAATGTTGGAGGTATAGCATTGGAGATCCCCCAGATTAGGTATCATTGCTGCTACAGAGGAGAAGTTTGAAAGGGAGTACATTTCAATATTTATTTGGTGTTTTTAATGCAAAGTTAGAGATACGAAATTCAGTCACTAGTATAAACGATCTTTGAAGCCACAGGCTGAATAAGACAACCTAAGGAAGAAATCAGAGGTTATGTTCAGGTCAAGCCCTATATCCATAACTTTTAAATGGTGACTGAAGGGACAGTGAAGGCTGGAAGAGGAGACTGAGAAGGAACTAAAGACCTGGCAGGCTGGGAGAAGACACTGTCAGCCAAGGCCACTGGGACAGTTCTTCAGCAAGGAATGCTTTCCCGGCTGTGGCTAATGGAGATAGCTTCAGAAGGAACTTCTTCAGTGCAGTGAGTGCAAAGGAAATAACAGAATAGGAAATCAAGGAGTGCATAGGAACTGAATAAATAAAGAGTGAAAATGACCAACTGTTGATAAACTTAGAAATAGAAAACCAAGAACTGTTACCAGACACAAGTGTAGAAAGTCAATTCTTGGTGTTCAAAATAAAAGATTTTTAAGCATGTTTAAGATCCAGTAAAAGGGTACACAGGAGTCGGTGAGACGGTTTCCAAATGTGACAACTCAGTTCCACGCTGAGACCCACAAAGTAGAAGGAAAGCAGATTCCCCAAGTTGTCCTCTGACCACATGTGGCATGCATGTGTGCATGTGAACACTCACAAAATAAAAAGGATAGACTGAAAATACAGAGAAGAAAGCTAATCTGTAGTATTAGACCCTTGAAAAGATAGAGTAATAGTTTATAAAAAGTAGAGATCTCATTGAATTCAAATAGCTGCAGGTTGGGCTGTTGAGCAAACAAACTGTAAAAGTGTATGTCTATCTGGAGTGGTATAAGTGAGGTGAAGGAGAAGAATGCTAAAAGAGGTGAGACTTGAATATCTACATATAATGTCTAAATCTGAGGTATATAGCAATTGTAAATTATATACCCAGGTGTTTAACAAACAAAAGATAGTGTTTAGTAAATGATAGCAAAGAATAGAATTAGAGGGTAACTGAGTTTCCTGAGGATCATGAGAATGCAAATTTATTTGTATTAGGGACCAAAGAGTAATACTGATGCTCAAATGCAAAGCACAGAAAAATAAGCATTTTTCTATTTAAGAGTCAAAAGACAAAAGAACAATGCTTCCACAAATCTAAAAAATTAATGTATCTGTGTGTGTGTGTCTGTCTGTGTCTGTGTCTTTATGGTGGTGATGATGATGATGATGATGATGATGATGGTCTAAAAGTACTTATTCTGCCAGTAAAACAACCAAGAGTATAAGCAGGTAACTGGAAGGGTGAATACACAGTGCAGTTTGGGAAGGATAAGTGAGGAGAGAGTCATCATGACCTAAGGATCCTCTAGTCTATCTCTGAATCCTTTGGATGAATGTGTTTTTAAAGCATGGGTCCAGAGGTTGTAAAATAAAGTAGGTAATTGGAGCATTCCAGTGGCCAGCCCTGAGGCTTTGGTGGCCACTGACCTACTCCTAAACTATTGTCCTTCCCTGTCCCTCCTAATCTCCATGCTCCTTTATTTCTCTCTCCTTCTCCTAAAGAGGGTATTGTTTTTGCTTCTTTTTCTTCTTTTAGCTGCAGGTATGCCAACAGCCACAAGTGGCACTGCTGGGTAAGAGGAGGCAGCTCATCTTTACACAGGGAAAACATTAATCACGGCACCAGGAACCAGCGTGAGGCAGAACTGCTGTCCTGCTTTGTACAGGAGGTTTAGGAAGAGGTTGGTCTAGCGACCAGTAAACTGCACAGCTGTGGCACTGAGTCACTGAACCCATCAGACCCAACACCTGTTCATGGATGGCAGCTTTCCTACACCCAGGACAGTTACGTTTGTTGCCCTGTTGGGAAAGGGATGTCAGTGTTGAAATACTACTGTGTACTCTTGCTGCTGCTTGTCTTTCATGGGCATTGGTGAACACATGAGTTAAACTATCTTATTTAGAAAAGATTAGAGACTTTAGTTAAGGCAGTTTCTTCCTGCCATTGACACGGATATGCTTACTTTTTTTTTTCTCACTAAACATGACTAAATATTTTACATATTACATAAACTAATCTCATCCCTCTTCCACTTTCTCACTTTACTTCTTACCACATTTTGCTTGTTTCTCTGCTTTTTCTGTCACCATTTGTGTCTGCCACATCTGCCTTCTGTTATTTGTCACCTCTTTGACTCTGTCCCATTTATACCCTATTGTGTCTGTCACTTGCTCTTTCAAGCATCTGCCATGTGTTTTCAGAGTCTGCCTTCCTCTCTTACTTGGTTCATACTACTTCTAGACCCAGAAGTTCTTGTCTTTTATATTACTATCAAGTTTTTGGTACTTAACAACATCATAAATAGGTTAATTTCTATAACCTTAATGTTTTTGTTTATTTCAATCTTAAGTATTCATGATAAGACTTGTATAACAGTGTACATAGTGCTTAATCATATAACTTGAGATCATATCAAAGATATTCAGAGAATGCAAAAATAGTAATATATAGTCTTTGGCATTTTGTTTCTAATGATATCTTTGGAAATTGGAGATTTCAAAGTATAAGGTATCTTGTGGGTTAAACATAGAAATAAGATATTGAGATTACCAGTATCCCTTTGGTGTATGCACTTAAATAAAAACTGTATCATCCATAGCAACAGTGTGACAGTATTCCTAAGTAACCTTGGAACCTACTGGGCATTTCACAAAGTAAACAAAATTCCCCTTGCAAGTTCTGACAACTGCAAGGCATTTTGGATGTGATGAAGTAGGCCTCCTGGCAGAACATAGCCCCATGTGACTTGTTCCCCATGTCCTGTGTTTGGCTAGGTTTCATACAAAGCACTTTTGCTGGTATAAAACCAGCCTCTATACTGATTAGGATTATTAGTTTCTAAGTTTCTATTCACTGCAAAACATTATGCAGAGATATAACCACAGTAAAACAACATCCATCCCAACTACACACTATTATTTCATCATCTTAGTTCAGCCAGTGTGCCTTTAGTAATAGGCTGTTCAGGCTCTATCTCAATGAGTTTTTATTTACTACAGATAGGATATGATCCAGGATCTTTGGTTTTAACAAGTACATCTACTAACCTTAGAGGTGTCTTATGGAACTTTATAGAGAAAATACTGCATATACATTCTAATTCCAAGATAGTCAGTACAGTAATAAGATGTATTTATTAATAAGCAATAAGATGTATATGAATTCTGGTGTTTGTTTTGTTTTGCTTTTCCAGTTATCAAAAGTTTGGCTTGGCCATACTTTCCAAAATGTAATTAAATATCTGGGTAGAAAGGCTAATTTTATAATTCTGAGTAAGTTTAAAATAAGCATACAATAACTTGGTAAATAAAACCTACACATAACTGTATTTATGTATATGTCTCAAAATCCATATATGAGCTATCAGATATGTTATACATCAGTGTTAACTGATAAAATGAAAATGATATTGATGTTTTTGTTAAAAATGAGCTTAAGTAGATATAATTCTGATTGACAAAAGAGAAAAAAAAGTTTCTATTCAGTGGCTCCATTAACAATTATAGTTCTGAATTGTTAATCATGCTGAAAGTCAGCCATGCCATATGATAAATTGAACACACAACAGAGACTTTGAAGATATAAAGTGTAAATTATCTTTATCTCTGAAAAACAGTCCTTTTTGGCTATGTTTTTCATTAACTCCATTAGAATGAGTTGAGACATGTGATTCTCTACTGTATCCTAATCATCTAGCATGATACCTGGCATGCAATAGGCACTCAATAAATGTCTAGATAGATTGTTGTAAAATATCCCTTTGATCCATACATGATTTTTAACTTTTTTACAGCTAGTAATTTGGGTCTGGAATAATTCTGCAAATTATCTTAAAAAATGGAGAATAATTTTGAGGCCTAAGCATATAAGATTGCCCACAGTCTAGAGAAAGTTTCTGTTGTGCTTTGTACAGTAACACATGAATAGTGAAGAGCCCAGCACTCATTCCTGGCATATGCTTGAGGAACATTCCTGCTTCGTGAGGTCAGTCAGACGAGCTTCAGAACTGGACTGTGTTGTGCGTGTCGCAGCAGCATGGGGTTCCACCCTGGTGAACGGGTGCGAATGGAAACAACACGGCAGCTTGGCACTAGGGAAGAGCTAGCCTTATTCCAAAAGGAAAAGGACAGGATGAAAGTCAGAAAATACCAAAATAGTAACTGACTTTCTACTGGACAATCGCAGGAGCCTTTGAACGTTCTTATATAATTACAGACCTCTAAGGAAACCTGTAGAAAAATCTGTTACCACCCAGTACCATTCCAGTTGTTCATACTGCTCACTAGAGAACACCCCTTTCTTTATTAGAAGCAGAGTAAACTAAGCTGAGTGACTATGTCATCTTTGAAATTACATTTCTCAGAGGAAATTTTCTAAAAGAAAGTCGCAGTCTTATGACATTCAATTCTCATAGTATGTGTACAAGTTTTAAAAAGTTACTCCAAGTAATGACTACAAGAATAAAGTATTACTGTGCTGTTTCAGATGTGTCTGTCCCACATCTGGCGTAGATGGACTTAGTGGCAGGTGCAGGTTGGGCATCCATGGGCAGTAGGTACAGTAGCCTGTAGCAAGGGATGGTGATAGGATTCAGAGGCAGCTCATTTGGTAAATAAATACCTGATTATATCACTGGGGTAATGCATGAGAAGTCCTAGAATTATAGACCTCCCACTTCTTCCCTTAAGACTCAGTTTAGAGGTGATAAAAATAGGAAATAGAAAATGGTTCTTATAATATTTAGTAGAAATAATTAATAAAATAAAGGAAAAATACATAATTTCAAAATATCACACAGTGAAAACTGGTGTTTACCTCCATTCTCTTTTTACTCTACTACTGTGAATGGTTTCAGATTTTAGTTCTATGGATAGCCTGTATGATTTCCAATACATATAAATTTTTCTTTAGTACTAGCAGTGGTCAGAATCCCCTGGCCATTCTTTGTAAAATATGAAGAAATTAGTGCAGCTATACCTCCTCCCTCCTTCCTCTGTAGTGTGTTTGATTTTTATTGTATGACTAGATCATAATATATATGGTAACCATACTTTATTTTGCAATTATATACACAGCTATATCCAGGGGGAAAAAAAACCCGTAGCATGTGTAGTATTACAATGTAATTTTTTTAACCATAGAATCAAGTAGAATAATTAAAGTTATACAGCAAAGAGTATCTTCCTAATCGTCTGTCACTGGGCTTTGCACTTCAGATAAGTTCTTTTAGCTATTTGTTTGTTTGATTAATTGGTTTTGATTTTGGTTTATTTTGTTTTGTTTTTTGGTTTTTTGAGACAGGGTTTCTCAGTGTAGGCCTAGTGGTTCTGGAACTCCCTCTGTAGACCAGGCTGACCTTGAACTCACAGAGATCCGCCTGCCTCTGCCTCCTGAGTACTGGGATTAAAGGCGTGTGCCACCACCGTTCAGCCAGTTTGGTTAAATTTTATTAAGATGTATTAAGTGTATAATGGGATTCATTACAACATTTTTCATAGGAATATATAACGCATTTTGATCACTATCAACCCCAGTTCCCTCTTGTCTTACTCCTATTCATCCCCTTGCAATGAATTTTCTAAGTACCCAAAGCAGTTTTTTTCCTAATCATCTTCCTTTTTTTCTAAAGCAACTTGGTATTTATCTATCCCTAAAATCTTTATTAAGATCCTTCATTCTCTGTGTTAGACAGCTTCAAGAAATTTTGCTGAAAAATATGAATGACCAGTTTAGAGTTCCCAGTGCTTCTTACCATGAGTTCATTTTGTATTTACTCTTGAGTGATGAGTAGTACTTCCCCTACTATAGAACTTGATTGGATATGTTTCATGTATACTACACTGTTAATTTCTTTCACATGCATAAAATATACATTAATGTATAATAGATATAAAATCTCTGAAAATATGGCTTATTTATTTATGTAGGTAGTCTAAACATAAATGTCCTTTCTTCTGTTTGTTAGCAATTAGACCAGGTTGGCTTTCTCTGGTGTGCTATAGGACTTTAACCTATAATTCTGCAAGTGGAACCATTGGAATCCCCAGGAAAAAGACTGAATAGAATACACATACACTCTCCCTGACTCTCTGTCTACTGATGTTGTGAACAGAAATAGGCTGGTGGGTACCAAGGGACATAATAGGCAATGTTTAGCATAATGGATTGGTATACCTTGCTTCCATCTATGACCCCCCACATTATTTACTTTTATTAGAAGTTATTAAAAATACAAGGCAATGGTATTTTTCTGGTAATTTTATTTATTCAAATCAAGTCAAGTAGTCTATTGCTACTGCAGCAGGAAGATCTTATATATCTCCTACTTCCTGTCTCTCTTTTTCAATAAAGGATCTCAGCAGATAGGAACAGATGTGAAGGAAATAGTTAAGCCAACTATGATGTGTCTGTCTGTCTCCTGCATAAAGATTTGTACTATCCTTGCACTCTCTTCTCCACAGACCACATTATCCCAGAATTGCATTAATATAGCAGTTTTATTCTATATGGGCAAGGATAGCCAAATTTCTAAGTCAGATACTACATGTTTGCTTTATTATAATAATTCTTTTAGTCCACTAAACATATGGCAAGAGACTCTATTCTTTCCATCCTTTCAACACAAATGAAAATGTTTAACTCAGAATTTAAATTTTATAATTTTTGTAGCAAGAGCACATCACCACTCTGTTTTTTGTTTTTTTTTTTTTTTTTTTTTTTTTGGTTTTTCGAGACAGGGTTTCTCTGTGTAGCTTTGCGCCTTTCCTGGGACTCCCTTGGTAGTCCAGGCTGGCCTCGAACTCACAGAGATCCACCTGGCTCTGCCTCCCGAGTGCTGGGATTAAAGGCGTGCGCCACCACCGCCCGGCATCACCACTCTGTTTTAATCTGATTAAAATAAATTAGTCACACCTATTAGAGTGAGAATCCACCTGGCATTTCTGATTTTGCCTTATGCTACTGCATGACATCTAGGCCAAATTTCATAAGAGATACCCTTTGTTGGCCTTGTTGCTGATATATTTCTACTATTTTTTAAAGTGTTGACTTCCAAAACTCTAGTTTATTCTATATTGTACTCAAGAGAAAGGTTTGAGTTCATTTCTTTATTAACTATTTTAGTAATTGCCTGCTGACTTCATCTCTTGGGTGGGAAAACAGTAGAAACAATAGCTATATGAGCAGTGTTAAAATTTTTATCTCTTTTTTTTTAAAGATTTATTTATTTATTATGCATACAATGTTCTGCCTGCATGTATGCCTGCAGGCCAGAAGAGGGTGCCAGATCTCATTACAGATAGTTGTGAGCCAACATGTGGTTGCTGAGAATTGAACTCAGGACCTCTGGAAGAGCAGCCAGTGTTGTTAACCTCTGAGCCATCTCTCCAGCCCAAAATTTTTATCTCTTGTCCCAGTTCCTTGAAGCATTATTCATTCACAGTACTCAAGAAATAGAATTAACCCAAGTATGCACAAACTCACAACTGGATTAAGAAAATATGGTGTGCAGTCCTGGGGACATGGCTCAGGGGTTCAGTACATATCACACATAAGGACCATGGCTAGAACGCCAGAACATACATGTATGTCAGGTGGGCATGGCAGCTTGTCTCTAATTCCAGCTTTAGAAGGTGGAGAAAGGAATCCCCTGAGCAAGCTGGCTGGCAACACTAGCTTTATCAGTGAGCCCGAGTCTGACTGAGACTTGCATACACACTTGCAGAGATCATGTGTTCCTACTTTTTCACTTCAGAAATCCTTTGTTGTCTAGAGCATTTTCTTTTCACTTAACAAATGATGGCTTTTTATCAAGATAGGTTCACAGAGGCAATGAATTTTTAACATAGCATCTTATAGTGTGAGGCAAAGGGCTTAGCTGTGTGGCTTATAAGTAGAGTGTGGTTAGCACATGCCCTTGGTTTAGTCCCCAGCAGTACTGTGAAAACAGCAGTTGCTCTAGAGCCAAAGATTCCAGTCCTAGTTGTGTGACTAAGACAATGGAAAGCATGTACCCATTAGAGTACCATGATAATTTATAAGTGAGCCCTATGTTTTGTTTTGAGAGCCACCAAAATTTGATACCAGGAAAATGTGCTGATCTTTCCTTCTGGAGTTAGCACCCTATTTGGAATGTTACTTAAAGAATTCTGTTTTCTCTTGAACTTTTAGTAAGAAACAGCTCAGTAGATTGAAGGGAATATATTTCTTGTGTGTGTTGACATGAATGTGCATGTGGAGGTTAAGAGGACACTTGCAGGGTTTGCTTCTCTCCGTCTACCATGGAGGCTCGAAGGATAGAACTCAGGTCATCGGGCTTGGCAACAGGTACTGAACCATATCAAGTGAAATGGTTTCCAAAGTAGCACATTGCAGGGGATGGGAGTGGTTCTATCTAAAGGCCCAAATTATCACTTTATGTTTATTTCCTGTTTGTAATTCTCTTTGTTATTTTAAATCAGTAGACTGAGATAGGATGGTTCTCTTTTTTAACCTTGTATGTATAATTGAGAGTCTGTATATCTAAAGAAGGAAATATAAGTTCTTTATTTTAGTGGGAAGATTTTTAAACTTTTTTTCATAATCTTGTCTTGACATTAAATTAGGACAACTTCTTTGTTTATTTGGTTCCCTTTCTATTCTTTCATGTGCAAATAAATGAACTGAGAGCATCAAGGGTAGAGGACTAATGCTGCTGTGGAAATACTGTTGCATTTTGGTTTGTCAGGCCCCTTCCCCACACGTTAATTTAGGGCATTATGATGTTCATATTTAAGGTCTGAAAAACCAGTTACTGATTGTTTATTTACCACACTGATTACAGGTTCATCATTTGTTTATTCTTCAGGTTTTAAACCACTTTTCCATTTCCATATTCCTTTGATAGAATAGTTCTGAAAGATTAAAAAAAAAAACCACTCTTGTAAAGTGAGTCTACCTGTGTGTTAGATGACATCATTTGGTGTCTGTCATTGTCCATGGCCATGCCATTACAAGAAGTTTTATTCATTGGTTGAATACATCATTTTGCAAAGTGCCTTGAGTTTTGGCTCTTTGTATTCTTGCATTTCTATATGAAAGAAATGAGAGTAATGAGGAAGGTTATTGAATACATATTCTGCTTCTTTGCTGTAACAAAATTTAATAACTAAAAAATCCAAGTAAAATGTGTTTAGTATCATTACCTTATGACTTTCTAGTATGCCTTTCTGTTCAATTAACTATCTGTAAATTCTTTTAAGAAATGCTTTTTCTTACATTTGGAGGACAGGGAGCATGTGAATGACATGGCACATTGTGTGCAGTCAGAGGACATGTAAATGTTGGCTTTCTCTACCATGTGAGCTCTGGGAATCAAATTCATATCATCAGGCTCATACCAAAGATGCTTACCCACTGAGCTGTCTCTTACACATCTTGGACATAAACTCATTCAGTTGTGCAATTAGAGACTAAAGAAAATTCTCAGCAAACACAAAACAAAAAGACTAAGCACATAGATACTTGTTAAGTGTCTCTGTTATATATATTTGAATGAAGTGTTTTATACTGATTTCTTTCCTTTCTTAACCAGGTTTTATTTGATATTAATGCATTTTCCCCTTTGTGTTCAAAGGGTAGCCATTCTACAAAAGTGGAAGCTGTGGTCAGAACTCTGATGAAAATACAGCTTAGAGATCCAGGGGCCAAAGCACTCGTCTTCTCAACGGTATAATCAAGACTTTCTGCTTCAGTCCAGCTGGTTTTCTGCCTCTACTTAGTATTTTTCTGAGAACTAGTTTTAAATGCTTGCTGAAGTATAGTTAAGATTCAGGATGCTTTCAGCTTTTTTTTTTTTTTTTTTTTTATGTCCTTCTGTTTAGAGGAATGTGATGATACTTTATAAAGGCAGTTCCTGTAACATTTTATATTGATTTCAATAAGAGATTTTTATTTCAGTACTTTAAAAATTAGAATCTATAACCTTGAAAGACTCATTCACAAATGAATTTGACTATTAAGGGAAAAGTTAATGAACTACAAAGTATTATTTATAATGTAAATATAGTAAAAACCCTAGTTTTCCATTTAGAAAGATAAGAAACTATATCTATTAAATATGCCATTGTTTTGCATTATGGATTTTAATTATTTTCAGTGATGCTTATATTTTATTATGCTACCTTTCAGCCAGTATTTAATAGGGGAAAATGGTATTTCCCAACAGAGCTAACTAGTGTTGTAGGTACTCTATCTGAGAGTTTGGATTTGATTTTGTTCATTTAACTGTTAGTGTGGTTTAGTTAT